TTACATTAATTGTAACATCTTCTCAATGTCACGGCCCCCTCCTGCACCCGGACGCTATAGAAATGGGCCAATTAGGCCCCATTTTTATAACAATCAGAGCAAACGGAGATAGGGTAGGAGAAGGACAGGAGGGTGGAGGTGGCATGAGGGGTGAGGGGTGGTGTGGTCTCAGGTGTGGTGTCAGGACCGAAGGTGAATATCGGAACAGACAGCGGTAGGGCAGGACCCTGGAGGTGGTGAAGATGGAGGTCCGGGAGCCGGTTCGGGATCGAGTATGTACAGATATGACATGGCAAACCTTTCCACATCTCCATCCAAATGTGCCCTCTGTAAGCACTGTCCTCCACTCTGGTCTGATACCTGACTGACTGAACTTCATGCACTCAAAGAACCTCTGTAGCACCCTACCAACTCCTCCATGTTGCATCCAAGAACACACATGCCTTCATCTCCTGCATCATAGCATTTTATGTAACTAGTGCAGATCGGTTTGTGTAATGATGCTTGGATCGAATGCTGTGTAGGTAGCAGCAATGCAAAGCATGCACTCTAGTGAAGACAGCCAGCACCACTAAGGAGGATCACCTGACTTATCAACAGACATAAGGAATGCAACAGGAATCAAGTTTAGACTTCAGTTTAGACCCCTTCACTGTGAACGCTTTTTTTGGTTTGGTCTAAACTGCAACTAAAGTCCACCTCAAAACTCGGACCAATCTTATCCAATCTAAACTCAGTCTGGTCATTCAGTTTAAACAAATCTGGCCTACCATGAAACCCCCTATTAAATGTTGTAATTGGCAGATTCAAAAAAAAATATCATCATTTTCATATTTCTGTAAATTTGTCAAACACATGATTTTTTGCGCTGTAGGAGAAATAACGGCCACACTATGGAAACCCATTATGAAAATATGCCAGATAAATCACAAAACCTCATACGACAAGTAGATATGAGAACATAGAAGGACCTGAATTCTTACGAATTTTACGAATTTTTACGAATTATTACGACTATACACGATAAATCGAAAGAAAGAAAAATAACAAAAATACTTCAAGCTTACCATCAACGAGACGGAATTCTCGGGGGAATTTATAGCAAATATTAAACCAAGAATTAGGACAATCGACCAAGATTTGACTATAAAAATAATCAGAGAACCTCCACGGAAACTACTTTCCCACGTCCGCACACATAGCAAGGATGGAAGTACCACGGAACAAAGATTCCTCAGGAACTAATGCAAAAGTCAAAGTCGTGTTTATAATAGGAAATGTAGATGTCACCCAAACGGAACCAATGAGAGTAATTATAGGGGAAACTACCCATAAACGACGGAGATATGACTAAAACTCCTGCAAAACGAGGACAATGTCTAAAAAGCAAGCGCGAAGATTAACTAGTAACGACCGAGACAAGCTTGATAGCCCATTAGAAAGGAAAGGATCTACTCTTAATCCTCCCAAATTTCCATAATAAAAGGATCATGCGTTAATGAGAAATCCAATAACGGGAATAGCGACATCAAAAGTCCGAGCTCAGGGACAAGACGATGATTGCGTAGGATCCATAATTAAAACATACAACGAAATTTACACGGAAAATATGAAAAATAGGAAACTATAGTTATGCAAATTCTCAGCCCAAACGGTCCAGCCGTTGTGAAGTTATACCCATGGCGGGAATATAGGAATCCGCATCATGTGTAATGACACGTGAGGGTGGCGATGCGCAGGGAACCGGCCGTCGGAACCGAGATCCGCACTTCGGCAGATCGCGAAGACCAATTTCCGTCCAAATAAGGAAGAGCCCGGTCAAAACAAAGCACGAAAGGTGCAAAACAACCTTAGATCATGAGGGAAAAATCTGAAATAAATCACAGAAGCCCATATGAAAGAAATAAACACCCGCGCATATCATAAATCCCGAACAACTAAACGAAAACGGCTCCCGCATACGAACAACTATGGGAACGACGCACGTGATTACCGAATGTGCGCGCGAAACTTTGCTAACTCAACGAATACAGGGAAATAGGACACAACCTTAGTACCATTGGAAAGGTGGGAATAAATGGAAATTTATGATACCAAGAACGTGAGAAAACATCCAGAAATGAATGAGATACAAGGACATGAAGTTAGAAACCTGAAAACACGCGGGAAGACAGCTTCAAGAGGTCTAGAGCCCTAAATAAAATACATAAAAATATGATATCTTCGAGGACGACCTACTATAACAACGAACAATACATATGGAGGATTAGGATGTGATAATACAAAAGGGAATCAGGGAATATGAACGAAATTCACGAAAACTACTAAACTACGACGGACCATGGCGGGAATTTTAGGGAACGATGTTCTAATGAAGTAGAGAGCTATAACACATTCGTTTGAGTAATTCTTGATTACTAGCAACTTTTTCTTTCAGTTTTAAACCTGAATAATTCACTCATTTATCATTTCAGTCTCATTTTAACTAAAATGTCACTAAATAAAATTGGAATAAATCAGCTGAAGGTCTCAGCACAGTCGCACGCATAGTAATGCGAGGTTTGAATTCAGTATGACCGAGTCATAGCGAACTTAATGGGAAATATGGGGAATTTGAAATAGGGAACTGCGGCAAATGCGGCGCAGACAAATTCTAATTAACCATTAAAATAGCTTAGGCGAGGAAGGACAATAAGGATTCCAGGCGCAGTCTGACCGCAGTAGACCGCAGTTCAGCGCAGCAAAGCGCAGCGGAACTATAGCGTGAAAATTTCACTTTTTATTCAGTTTGAGAAAAATACACTGTAAATAAATCCTGTAAATAGAAGGTAGAGCGTGAAAAAGGAAGGCGACCCAAGGAGTATAAAAGGGAGACCCTTTCTGCGACCTTTCGCCCCCCTCAGAGAAGTAAGAAAATAGAGTATTATTTTTCTCAAGCATTTCTGGTTGTCACTCCAGTGCGAAAAAGTGATATACAGTTAAGATTGCCACTGTAGTAAAAGGCAGCAATTAAGGAGAGAAATATTAAGTAGATATTTCAACAGGAGAGCTGGTTAACACTCCAGATTTCAAAGTGTAAACACAAAACAGTTACTTTGCTACTGTTAAAACAAGCAATAAAATAAGACAAAAATAGAACAAACTCAAGGGACGCTCCAGACACCATCCAAATTCATTAACTGAATAGAATCTTTGAAACTTCACCAAGTAGAAGATTAAATTCAAGTTTAAATCCAAATTAAACAACGCTACACAAAATTACACCTAGACAAATTAATAAATTTCAATAAAGAAACAGCTCCGCAGGGCTCGGTTTATCTGTAAGTCAATTCCCAGGAACTTTAAAACTAACCCATAAAAATAGAATTAGCCAAAACACTCGGATTGGTACTATATTTACAATAAACAACACTAGTACACTTCCCCATCCTAACTAGAGAACCAGGGAACAGCTTGGTGGTGGTCTCGTTTGAACCTCCCAACTGACCTTCCTTCGTTCTCTCCTTCAGCGCTCATCTCAGAGGGGTTTTTGAGGCTCAGCAACATATGTTGCAAACCTTCACCCCCATGTGACCTATTTTTCGCCAGAATTATGGCGAGTGTCTTGAGGTTTCAACACACAGCTCAAGCTCCATCCGATCTCTTATCATTTCCATTTGTTAGAACTGGGTGAGGGCAGACGATTCCAGAGGGGAACCAGAGACTTAGCAAGGAGGGACCTTGGCCTCAGCGACTCGTGCGGAGTGCTGTGCCATTGCTGTTTGTCCATTTGGTCCTTAATTTCAGAGGCAGTGAGCAGGAAGTCTCTAGGGGGCATTTCAGGTCGATTTTAGACTGAAGGTCTAAATGAGTATGTACAAGTGCCTGTATATAAAAGGGAGATGATAGCACAAGGAAACAAAGGGGGTCCGAATCAGAACGAAGGCATCCAAATGGGAACAAAGGGATGACAGAAGTGGAGTGGCACCAAAGGTCATAGGTCAGAACCTGTGGTACATCTGAAAGGAGATAGGGAGGGAAAAGCCCAGAGGGGCAGGAGGATGAGGTGAAGTGGGGATGATGACTAACTGGCTAGAATGGAGAGAAGCAGCAGTCCAAATAAGGATGAGGGGAAAGCGTGAAAGATACATTACAAATGGCAAAAGTGCTGAGTATGATCCATGGAGCTTGGAGGCTGCAGAGCTTATGGAGGTTATGGAGGCGGGGTTGAAAGTCCAAGTAAGAGGAGGAGGGTGGCAGGAGGAGTAATGTTCAGTCCGAGGTGAGTATTGGAGTGGATGGAGATAGGGTAGGACTCTGGAGGTGGCGAGGATGAGGGTCCGGGAGTCAGTTCAGGATCGGGTATGTATGGATATGACACCATTAGTAAATAGCTATGGTCCCTGGACATCTAGGAAGCTGATTATTTTGTAAGTTACTTCATGGATTTGCATCAATCAGCCATTATCATTGGGCCTTTGCCCTCTCCCCACATCAGCAAATTCCCTTGATCAAAATCAGGCACTTCAAATGGATTTGATTGGATCTTGTCAGAGTCCGCACGTCAGTTCACGCGTAAGAATCTCCCTGGGAAACTAGTCATTGTAAAAGCTGGGGGGCCAACCCAGCTGGCGATAAGGCCTTATATACATGAGTTCCGCACCTCATAAGAGCGCGGCTACATTGGGAACACATGGTAGCCGATAGAGAAGTGGCATGAAATAGGAGAATAGATCATGCAGATAAGGGGGCGATAACGGGTGAGGGATGACGCAATAGCGGAAATAGCGCATTGAATACAGCCTGCGTTCTAACTATGGCAAATCACACGCAGATATCGGCTTATGGGTACTCAACCTATCCGGATAGGGGTCCGGGCCGGCCGGATAACCGTCCGTGCCCTGACAGATCTAAACTGTCTGAAGTGAGCAAACCAACTGATTGGCTTTAATAAAGGTCTCTCAATTCATCCATATTCATGATTCCTGCACTCCCAACACTTCTAATGCTTCTAGGCTTCATTACACACAATCCCTGCACTTCTGGTGCTTCCAGTACTTCTGTGCCTCATGGGTTTTTACGCTTGCGACACCCATCCTAGTCCAGATGAACATATATATATATATTTGTTTTTCCGTTGGTCTGGAAGTCACATTCAAAAGAGGAAAGTGCAAGAACATGGGAAAGGACAAGGTAGGAAAGCACAAGAAAATAAGAAAATGGAAAGGTGCAAGACAGCAGGAAATAATCGAGGGAGGGGAATCAAGAGAATGAAATCAAGACCGTCAAAATTCTGCCAAAATGGTCACTATGTCAATCCCACCCGCTCTCACAAATCATCGATGTCACCATCAGTATCAAGTATCAGCAATGGTGCGTTGTGTGATCCATCTTCACGATACTCATCACTAAAGGTCATGGAAGAGTTCAAATGAGATGTAGATACAGAAAGAACGGAAATACTCACAGGACATCTGATACAAATTTTTCGGCGACTTTTTCCCAAGCAGAATCACCAAATTCTGAAACCCAGCCATTAATCCAATCCGTGTATATCTTGAACCAGTGCTCATATTTGTTGTCCAACTTGAGCTTGGAGTTGTATTCTCCAGTGTCAACATAACAGTCAAGTATGTGGCAGATCTAGAACAAGGTCATGATCAGTAAGATGAATCCAATAGGAAAGTTTCTCACAATTGTGCCAGCAAAGGCTAAAACCATAGTTGGGAAGGAAGCTACAAGTTGGGGGACAATCCATGTTGAGAATACATTCGGAGCAGGTAGGAGTTTGAATGTTTCCGAAAGGACAACTTTCAGTGCTGGGTGACCAAATGCACAATGACGAGCCTAGATGCAAATTGGATACTTAAATGAAGGGGTTAGCCATGAATGTAACAGACCTTTTTGCCTGCAGGGTGAAACTCACGGAAGAAGAAGTTGTTCTCCCCTTCCAGGGCAAGGGTAGCCATAGCCTTTGCCGCTTTTTTGTCTCCATTGGTTAGGACTTGGTAAAGGACTGCAACATGCATAGCACAGTTTGCTTTAATCCGGGTGCAGAATGAGGAAACATCATTCCAGAACTATTCAAATGTGAACTCGTGAATGTTCATCAAGATAGATGACTGAGGTGCATACCCGCACAAGTTCCTTGGGGCTGTAACCTGTGAATCCATCCGACAGCTTGCTATCACTGTACCTTGCAATCACATTTGTCGTCTCCATTGCAGCCATTCTTAGGTAGTAATCCCGGGTTGGGAACATACAGTTGGAAAACAGAGATGTCAGCAAAATCGTGCTGATCTCATCATACACAACACCACCAATCGATTGCTTGACTTCCTTCTTTGTAAGCAGCTTGATCTTTGGTTTCACATCCTCTTCATCATCTCTGAAAGATGCGGGCTAAGTGAACATTTTACTATCTCTGAGTATGCATTCACACCAACAAGACATCTTACTGTAGAAAGCGGTTCCCTCTCTGTTCTTGGAGTTCTCAATGGCGTCATAGCAAGAGCCGGATCAATAGTAACCTAGGAGTACAAGATTGTTACCAACATTGCATCTAGCTGTATGATGCATGCTTACATCCACATTATTGTTGCAATGAGGAGCCATTGCAGTGAGATGACGATGACCATTCATACTAAATTGAGACGGAAGCTGGAATGGGAACTCCTGAGTTTGCACCTATAGGGAAAGTGGGAAAAATATTGTTCCTGTGGAGTGATGAATTGATTGTCACACATACATTCTGAAGTCGTGCCGACGTCGAGACTGAAACCTTATTAGGACGCCCAGGAGGCAGCGGGGGAAAAACCTCGGAGTGGGCTGATGTGAGCGCCACCACTAGAAATGGTAACCTGAACCCAACTCACATTGCACTGGTTGAACTAATTCGGAGCTAGGCCCTGCCACGTCACCCTGAAACTTACGCTTCATCCCAGCTACTGGATGAAAAGGAGCATTTGGGATAGTGTGTCCAGGGAAATTTGCCAGTGGTTCCATGAGCACTTTAGTTGCTTTCCGTTTGTGGTAGGCTTCCGGATCAGAGGGAAGTGTAGACAGGCGCATTGTTTGGGAATTGCTGTCTGATGTGGTGGGAGAGACATCGCGAGACGGTGAACCCTCGGCAAACCCAGGCTGGGAATCCTCCCTACTTCCATCTGAGGGAATAGCGGCAGCTTGAGCCCTTTTTGCAGCAAGGTTTGCTTTCCTTGTTTCGGCCGCTTTGTGGCCACGCTCTTGACTCCGTTGCTTCTGGTTCAGGGTGGGTTGACGAGGAATAGCAGGCTCGGCCATGTTTGTTGGGTCAACTTGCTTGGGTTTAGAATTGCCAGTTCGTGCGCGGGTGTTGAGACCTTTAGGTGGCATTTGGAGGGACTTGAACAGCGGGAGTGCGGAATAAAAAAAAAGAAGAATAGAATTAGTTGAATCTAAATAGCAATTCAAACTCCGACCTTCAGAAAGAATGTCAGACTCCCTGAGCCTAGCACTGCATGGGCGCGTCTTCTGTCGGTTCTGCAAGCGGTCATTCTCTCAGCAAGGTGGTGGCCTGAGTAATCATATCTGGCACAGCAAAAAATGTCGGGAAAAAGAAAAGCGAGAAATACGAGTCTTGGCTTGTCACATTGCATCAAATTCAGGCAGACACAATATAACAGGCAGTAAGTAACTGTCTGATAATGAAACTGATCACTCACTGAAGTGTTCTGGCATTCCAGATGGGCCCCATCATCCGCAATCAGGAGGCCGAGGTGGAATGGACAGCCGCCCCCCCCCCCCAACCCGACCTGATGGCCAAGATGGGGCCCATGGTACCCGCGGCAGTGGAGTTGGTGATGGTGATGGCCAGGATGGCACCCATAACAGTGGAGACAACACTCAGAATCTTTGGAGCAATAATGGCAACGGTGGTGATGCTCACTATGACCAAGCCAACACATACAATGGCGGAGGTGATGATTGTAGCAGCCAAAGCGATACACACAGCGACCCAGAAGATACTTCTTGCAGAGAGTATCGTGTAGAAGTGGATGCACACGCTGGCTGGACTTTCTCTTCCCCATCTTTCACACTATGGGACAAACTACAAAAAATGGAGGCTGAAGGAAGCGAGTGGTGGCCATGGGACAGTGAAGAAGAATGGGAGATGGTGAAGTGGTTAAGCACAACAGGGATTTCAAAGGGGGCAATCAACGGATTCTTGAACCTTAAATATGTATGTTCATCATTCGTGTTTAACAAAATTACTTACCATAGCCAAACGGAACAGGTCCAAAAACGGCCTTTCAGCTTCAGATCAGCAGATACAATGTACGGTAAAGTAAGATCTATGCCAGGAGCACCTGGATGGCACCAGGAGACAATTACCATGGATGACGCACCCCTAGAACCACAGGAGTGGATGCGCCGAAACCCGGTTGAGTGTCTGGAATTTCTGTTCCAGAACCCGAGCTTCAATGGCGAAATGGATTTCGGCCCATACAAGGTCTTTACAGCTGATGGTGACATAAGGGTCTATCATGAGATGGCTACAGGGGATGACTGGCACGAACAACAGGTAGGCGCATGTCCGGACACAGCAAGGTTGATGCTGAATCATGACAATAATAGGCACATCTCCCTGATGGGACCACTATTTTAAGCATGATGTTGGCTTCCGATAAAACACATCTCACGAACTTTACAGGTGACCAACGTATGCACCCACTTTATATATCTCTGGGGAACATCCATAAGGATGTCCACCGAAAAATCAACCGCCACGCCTGGATGCTGCTTGCAAAGCTACCAGTTTGCAAATTTGCCCAGACAACATTCAACACGTCGGGTGGAACTCTTGAGGAAGCTGCACGCATGCCTGGAATCGTACAACAAGAGATGTTTCATCACTGTTTGGAAATCACATTAGCCCCCCTTCTCACTGTTCAGCAAGTTCCCAGGTTGATGACTGGTCCCGATGGCCTGGTACGGGCGTGCGTGGCAATTCTGATGTCACACTTGGCCGATCTTGAAGAGCAACAGATGGTTGCCATAACGCAAACAGGCAACTGTTCAGTATGCTTAGTTCCACACCATGCCCAAGAGGAGTACACTGAACATCCAGCACGCACGCGCGACTGGATTCTCGACCCACTAAAACGTTTGCGAGAACAATACCCTCATGCTTCCACCTTTGAGTTCTCCCAAGAGGCAAAAAGGCTTAAGCTTGGACTGAGTGGTTGTACCGAGTCACCATATTGGAAGGGTTTTAAGCAGTGTCCTTCCCACTTCGTCAGTCAGGACTTGTTGCACGGTTGTTACAAGTTCTTTTGGGATCACGTTGTTTCATGGCTTACATCAACTTTGGGTGAGGCAGAGCTAGACCGACGTCTAATCGCCCAGCCTCCAGACAACCGTGCCCCACACTTCCCCAATGGGCTCTCATGCATATCTCAGGCTTCAGGGAGGGAGTTCAAGGCCTTTCAGAGCATTGCTGTCGTCGTGATCGCAGGGCACGATGCAGTTACACCAGCGATTATGAAAGCAGTCCGTTCATTGCTGGATTACATCTTTATTGCACAGTCCCCCATCATATCAAAGATTGACCTGCAGCTCATGAAGAGGAGCCTAGAGTGTTTCCATCGGTACAAGAGAGCCTTCATTCAGAATGGTTCTCGGGAACAGGGCCATATGAATATTCCTAAATTACACGCCCTTCCACATTTTATGGATGATACATGTCGCAAAGGCACCCCTGACAACTTCTCGACAGAAACTCCAGAAACTCAGCACATCAAAATTTGCAAGGAACCGTATTGCATGTCAAACAAGCGTGACTATGCACAACAAATAGTCAATTTCCTTGATGTTCAAGAAAAGATAGCGCTCCGAATGCTGTAGGTGGGCACAGCCGGTACCACGCAAACAAGTCGATTATCGCGATTCTACCACCCATGTCAAGTATCCCACTCCCGAAACACATCTACCACTGTTCCAGATACCCCTTCCACGTTTCCCATATTTTTTCCGATTTCTTTCAAGCCATTCCCGACCACGGACAACCATCAGTTTCCAAATTGGGTAACTGTCACCGGCATATTCTGCCGCTTCCTCCATATCTCCATCAATTCTCCACCGATCCGGACGAATTTGGTATCGTTGGAAAGCCCTTGTTAACACGAGTCGAACGATGTTACGAGTGACGCATTTGGTTCAGCGGCTGTTCCGATCGCCATGGTTCTTTATTTCCTTAACAACATCAATATTTCTTTGATATTGCTTTTTTCTTATTTGTTCCTTGTGGATCTGTTGCCGTCCTAAACCCGTCGGATCATTCGGATTTCCACGTATTTCTTTCATATTTATAACTGCCTCTTTCCTGTATTTACAAAAAAGGACTCCCCCAACAGAGAGAGGTGCTCCCAAACGAACATGAAGTTCTAGCAGACGTTACCAGCGCCCAGAGTGGCGAATACGAAGCCAAAGAGGCTCAAGACATAGTGCAGGGACAGAGTTCCCATCAGTTTGATTTCTAGTGAGATTTACGAGATTTATCATTTTTATCACATCGCACCCGGACCATTTCTCCTCCCCCCTTCCTCATCATCTGAACCTCCCCTGAGCATTCCCAACTCTGTGGCCCCCTCTCTTTCTCGTTAGGGTGGTAGATCCCTTGCCCCCTTACAACGCTATATACGGAATGGAAATTATCCCAGAAGTCGCAAGTACAGACATATCCTTTCCCCCTTACTAAGTTTGACTCATAATATTCTGGGCCACACAGGAGTCGGAACAATTGCTGCCAGGCGTCGAAAGAAATGGTGAGGAAGGCAGTCATCCGGTGCCAAGGCAGGCTCCGGAATCCAATGGGGGGACATCCCTTGCTAAGCGTCTCAAACTTGCACGCAGTGCGCACATACATGAATGTATCATATTGTTGTGTTGACTTGCTCCAGCCATACAGGATGACGGTGGGATTAAGCTTGCGCTCGATCCGCATTCTAGGTGTATCCCAATTTCCAAGGCGTCAAATTTGTTTGGGGTGCCTGACTTTGGTTCCTCTATACGTCGGATGTTGGATAATGGAGATGATGGATCTGAAAACGGTCCCCGATGGACATATAATGACTTGTCCATTCCGGACTCGTACGAGTTCATCGATATCTGGCATTCATTTCGACGGGCAGTCCCACCCCATGAGTTTGCAGAGGAGGAGTATGTTACAATCCATGCCAGGCCTCCGCTGGTTGGGGGTGAATCTCGTTACATGCCTGTCATGGTGCTGATGGATGAAAATGCGCGTGGAATCCATCGTGAGTGACATGCTTCACAGGTTTTCTGGTACTTACAACCTTCTGTCATCCAGGCTACCGTCCAGCTGAACTTCGTACCATCTTCCGAAGAAGATATTCGGAGCAGAGAGTTGATCGTGATGCCCCCATTTTGGCGCTTGTACTGTGGTACTCGAAGATTCCTCCCACCCCTGATCGCGACACGCAACTCTTCATGGTCCATCAAGAACTCGATATGCACAATCAGCGTCGATCTGGTGTCATTGAGCTTAGTCGCATCAAGTTTGTATGCCCCCTTGCACCCCGGATCGGGGGTGAGTGTCCTGCTGGGCTAACTGGCAGAACTTGTTTTAACATCGTCCGCTCATACTATATCAATGCCTATTCTAGCCGATCCAACTATAAAAGACTTTCTTCACGTAGAAGTTTGTAGCTTGCTCAGCAGAAAATTTCATCATTTTTAATAGCCAACGCTGTGCTTTCCATTCACTTGAGTTCACCCTTCTGCCTGGCAGCCAAACTTCCACGCTCAACCCGTCCTGGCTCATTGAATCTGTTGACTCGAGTCGGCTGCCCCATTTCCTCAACGCTGTCCTCACTTCAGCATCTGCTCAGCATCTACCAGCTGTGGACGACTTCCCAGCATCTGGCCCCCGTCGGTGGACAGAATTGCTTCCTGTTGAGTATCAAATTTGCAGCTCTGGTTCCAATTTCTTTTTAAATCCCTCCAATAGTATGACACTGTTGCCATCATTCAAGGCACGCTCCCGCTGGCTTCTTTCCCTCCCATACGACTATATTATCCACCCCCCCTCCTCGTAGACACAAATGCCATATTCCTTCCTTGCATCTGATAGAGTCACTTTGTACTCTGAACCCAGATTCTACTTCCGGCGCTGCATTGCGTGTTTTTGTCCCGACTTCCTACTTTTGGAGAGCCTGCCACCTAAACACATTCCATTACACTTGTGTGTCCAGTAAGAACGTGACGCTTGGTGTTCCCCAGTTGGAGAACGTGGCTACCAATATCAAAATATTGAGGCACGTTCGCTCACTGTGTACCTGGAAGCCCACACTTCTTGCGATGCCCCGGAGGCGAGAACCAGACCGAACTCACTCATACTCCTCTTTGGATCATCACGGCATCGACTAGGATTATTTTATCTCGATCCATCAACTACTGTCATCGAAGAAGGCACAGGTTGCGGCAAACTTGGGAGTGATAGACATCTCGAAGATGTGAAGGAAAGGGGGAAATGTCGTCCTGAGATTATACAAACCCGCTGTGCCAGCAATATCGCTCAAATTGGTATCTGCTTCCACCAATCAGCTTCCCTTCGATCACATTGACTACTATGCAATCTAGTCATTGTGTGGACTCCTGCCTGTTCTTGGGCTTCTTGGGCACGCGAAGGTAGGGGTGATCCAGCTACATTTGATGGTGAGGAACTACTCCTGTCTGGGATTGATCATCTTTTGCACATGAACTGACGATGTTTTGCAAGGACAAGATGAAGTTATCGGGTATCTCTGTACATGAACTTGAACACATTGTGTCTCAAGAAACTCTCATTCCTGCTGCGTTATTGGACTATTAATCGGTGGGATTCAGCTCATACCGATTCGGAGGCACTTAAACACATCACACAGGGCCACACTCTCGCGCTGTTTGTGGAGACAAGCCGACATGGAATCAACTATTGAAGGTATTATGAGTTGGCCCAACAGCTTCATTTGGAAGGTAAAGCGCATGGAGGTGAGCGCTTGGGAGACCTCAAGGCCCAGTTGCCTGGATGCTGTTCAAGCAATAGCGTTCCATCCAGCTGGACTGAGTCTCACACAGGGGGAGACGACAACACAATCAAAATATGGCACCTGGGGCCCTGCCCCAGTTGCAATCGTCCTCATAAGTACCACGCCTCTACTACATCGACTACTATACAATCCAGACACTGTTGTGTGGAGCCCACCTGCTCCACGGCACAGAGACACCAATGGGGTCGTGAGCCGGCTGCTTCGTTAGCACCAGAAGTCCCCCACCGTTGGTGTTCCCATGTCAAAGAATGGAAGATGGCGAAAAGCCAGGAATCATATGAACTTACAATGACGAGGCGAAACTCTCGGGGTTCCCCGTAATTGAACATGTTGCATCTAAAAAACACCCATTCTCGCTGAGTTATTCGATCGATCCGCTGGCCTCTGTCTTGAAAATCTATCTTCTCACTATCTGTTCCTCGGGCCTCCATTCAAGCGCAGACAGCGCCATCCCAATCTATCGCTCAGCATTCTGTGTTACCTACGGCTCCAGTCTAAACGTCGGGATCTCATTCTGTACCAGAACCTACTCAAGTGACCGCTACTTCTTGTTTCGGCAATGCAAGAAATGGCAGGAACGACTGAGCGGCTCACAAGGGGGAGATCGCTCAGCGCTGTAGGAGAAATAACGGCCACACTATGGAAACCCATCATGAAAATATGCCAGATAAATCACAAAACCTCATACGACAAGTAGATATGAGAACATAGAAGGACCTGAATTTTAACGAATTTTACGAATTTTTACGAATTATTACGACTATACACGATAAATCGAAAGAAAGAAAAATAACAAAAATACTTCAAGCTTACCATCAACGAGACGGAATTCTCGGGGGAATTTATAGCAAATATTAAACCAAGAATTAGGACAATCGACCAAGATTTGACTATAAAAATAATCAGAGAACCTCCACGGAAACTACTTTCCCACGTCCGCACACATAGCAAGGATGGAAGTACCACGGAACAAAGATTCCTCAGGAACTAATGCAAAAGTCAAAGTCGTGTTTATAATAGGAAATGTAGATGTCACCCAAACGGAACCAATGAGAGTAATTATAGGGGAAACTACCCATAAACGACGGAGATATGACTAAAACTCCTGCAAAACGAGGACAATGTCTAAAAAGCAAGCGCGAAGATTAACTAGTAACGACCGAGACAAGCTTGATAGCCCATTAGAAAGGAAAGGATCTACTCTTAATCCTCCCAAATTTCCATAATAAAAGGATCATGCGTTAATGAGAAATCCAATAACGGGAATAGCGACATCAAAAGTCCGAGCTCAGGGACAAGACGATGATTGCGTAGGATCCATAATTAAAACATACAACGAAATTTACACGGAAATTATGAAAAATAGGAAACTATAGTTATGCAAATTCTCAGCCCAAACGGTCCAGCCGTTGTGAAGTTATACCCATGACGGGAATATAGGAATCCGCATCATGTGTAATGACACGTGAGGGTGGCAATGCGCAGGGAACCGGCCGTCGGAACCGAGATCCGCACTTCGGCAGATCGCGAAGACCAATTTCCATCCAAATAAGGAAGAGCCCGGTCAAAACAAAGCACGAAAGGTGCAAAACAACCTTAGATCATGAGGGAAAAATCTGAAATAAATCACAGAAGCCCATATGAAAGAAATAAACACCCGCGCATATCATAAATCCCGAACAACTAAACGAAAACGGCTCCCGCATACGAACAACTATGGGAACGACGCACGTGATTACCGAATGTGCGCGCGAAACTTTGCTAACTCAACGAATACAGGGAAATAGGACACAACCTTAGTACCATTGGAAAGGTGGGAATAAATGGAAATTTATGATACCAAGAACGTGAGAAAACATCCAGAAATGAATGAGATACAAGGACATGAAGTTAGAAACCTGAAAACACGCGGGAAGACAGCTTCAAGAGGTCTAGAGCCCTAAATAAAATACATAAAAATATGATATCTTCGAGGACGACCTACTATAACAACGAACAATACATATGGAGGATTAGGATGTGATAATACAAAAGGGAATCAGGGAATATGAATGAAATTCACGAAAACTACTAAACTACGACGGACCATGGCGGGAATTTTAGGGAACGATGTTCTAATGAAGTAGAGAGCTATAACACATTCGTTTGAGTAATTCTTGATTACTAGCAACTTTTTCTTTCAGTTTTAAACCTGAATAATTCACTCATTTATCATTTCAGTCTCATTTTAACTAAAATGTCACTAAATAAAATTGGAATAAATCAGCTGAAGGTCTCAGCACAGTCGCACGCATAGTAATGCGAGGTTTGAATTCAGTATGACCGAGTCATAGCGAACTTAATGGGAAATATGGGGAATTTGAAATAGGGAACTGCGGCAAATGCGGCGCAGACAAATTCTAATTAACCATTAAAATAGCTTAGGCGAGGAAGGACAATAAGGATTCCAGGCGCAGTCTGACCGCAGTAGACCGCAGTTCAGCGCAGCAAAGCGCAGCGGAACTATAGCGTGAAAATTTCACTTTTTATTCAGTTTGAGAAAAATACACTGTAAATAAATCCTGTAAATAGAAGGTAGAGCGTGAAAAAGGAAGGCGACCCAAGGAGTATAAAAGGGAGACCCTTTCTGCGACCTTTCGCCCCCCTCAGAGAAGTAAGAAAATAGAGTATTATTTTTCTCAAGCATTTCTGGTTGTCACTCCAGTGCGAAAAAGTGATATACAGTTAAGATTGCCACTGTAGTAAAAGGCAGCAATTAAGGAGAGAAATATTAAGTAGATATTTCAACAGGAGAGCTGGTTAACACTCCAGATTTCAAAGTGTAAACACAAAACAGTTATTTTGCTACTGTTAAAAACAAGCAATAAAATAAAGACAAAAATAAAACGAACTCAAGGGACACTCCAGACACCATCCAAATTCATTAACTAAATAGAATCTTTGAAACTTCACCAAGTAGAAGATTAAATTCAAGTTTAAATCCAAATTAAACAACGCTACACAAAATTACACCTAGACAAATTAATAAATTTCAATAAAGAAACAGCTCCGCAGGGCTCGGTTTATCTGTAAGTCAATTCCCAGGAACTTTAAAACTAACCCATAAAAATAGAATTAGCCAAAACACTCGGATTGGTACTATATTTACAATAAACAACACTAGTACACTTCCCCATCCTAACTAAAGAACCAGGGAACAGCTTGGTGGTGGTCTCGTTTGAACCTCCCAACTGACCTTCCTTCGTTCTCTCCTTCAGCGCACATGGAGTCAGTCTGTAAATACCTGTAAGTTGTATTCTAGGCACCCGTTATCAGCCAAAGCTATTGAGCGATAAATACACGACCGAAACTGGAGTTGAGACCGGTAACCAGGTATGTTAATAGTCCGCTCTCAGCCATAGCGTTGATTCCCCAGCTCACATACGCTCGCACACGTAATTTAGCTTTTTTGACAGCACTGACCAATGCCCTCGCCTATTTTGATAGATTCTCCCCATCCCCCACTTTACTCGTTGCATCTCTTCCGCCTCACTTCCTCGAGTTTAATTCACCGCTCTACCCATCGCATCTCTTCGTTCCAACTCTCGGATTTGGGAGTCCTTCAAAAGCGAAATCAGCCAGGAGCTGAATAAGCGTCGTGACGATGCACATCGACCGCCTTATCTAACCTGTCATTCCTTCGCTCTGATTCTCAAGTTTAATTCACTGCTCTACTTATTACATCTCGTCTGCCCAACCCCCTCGCTCCGATTCTCATCAATGTTTCCCAGATGTCTGGCCACCTTATCTTCCAGTCAGCCTCAGTCGCATCCCCACATCCCACTTGTCATTTCTTCACTCCGACTCTCAAATTTAATTCGCTGCTCTACTCATTACATATCTTCCAGTCAACCTCCATCGCATCATCCAGAATTCCCAGGAGATTTTCCACATCTAACTTCCTCATTTCTTCGCCCCAACTCTCTCGTCTGCCTAACTTCCTCGCTCCGACTCTCATCAATGTTTCCCAGATGTCCGCTTACGTTGGCCACCTTATCTTCCAGTCAACTTCTGTCACATTATCCAGAATTCCCTGCAGATTTTCCACATCGACTGTACCGGTTTGAACTCCATCCGCGGCATCCGCTGGATCCACGCACTTTCCGAGAGATTTGTCATTGTGTGGTGCCAGGAAACTTGTCGAAGACATGCTGAAAAACGGATTTGGATCTGGTTCAAAAAGGTACGTCGTCCCCTGGGAAGGATGTCCACCTTGCCGTGGTCCAGGGGCTACCCATGTCGGTTCACAACCCAATATACCTTGGCTCTGGTGACCGGGGCTCCAAGAGATGTCCACCCGGAAATATTGAAAAATGGCCACCGCCGGAGAACAAGGTAATGGTTTCGCAATGTCTTCAGTCTCAATACTCACGCCTCTACAGAGCCTTTTCGCGGACATATTGCTTACTTGGATACTCGACCTCAAGAGACCCTGAAGTACTGACTGCTCTCAACTACCATGTCCTAGGAGCCTTCGCCGCCTGGTCTTTGGGGTCATGAATACGTTCGTTAATGCTCCGCTAGCTACTATCACACGGAACCAGATTGTCTCTTCATGGTCAGGGTGGCGCAAGGGCTGGTGCATATGGGCAAGGGCACGATCGGCATTAACCCCTTCTTTCGAGACCGACAGATCATGTCGCAAACGGCTGTTGCTGGACTTCTGGCAACTCTTGTGGCCTTCACCGACGCGAAAGCTTGTGAGTGCTTATTCATGTTATTAAGTAAGAGAAGTGTCAGATCGTCAAATTTGCAGTCATTCTTGACAAGTCACACTGGATGCTGTACTTCCTTGTCACTGCGATGTTCCCGAGGTTCCTGATTACTCTTGATGAGGACTTGCAATCCATTCCGGTGACTGCTCGAGTCGGCTAGGTTAGTTTCACCATAGGCTGTTGATGTCGTGAGTCAGGTGGGTAAACCCAGAACAATATCAGGTTTCCAGACTCTTCCCGTCCTACACATGTGTACGTGCCACCTGTTCTTGCTTGTGGGTCCGAGTCCTGACAAACTGGGCGGGCTTCTATATCAGTATGGATGCCCTGCTACACAGCCGAGTCCTTCCAATCCAAATCCAAGCCAGCCAGCAGTATCGGGTAAAACCCTCCAGGTTGGGAGGAAGAGGTGGAATGTTGATTTCTGTTGCATGTACATATATAAATTCATCCCTAATACTCTGCCAGATGAACTTCTGAACTTGGCAAGTTGCGGTATTGTCTCTAATTCTTCCGTGTACATTACAGTTGTATGAATGTAAACTAAGCTTTGCTACCAATGCTCTGTCTAAAGTGTTTGATTAAAACTGAGGCGAGAACCCCCTTCAAAAGATATGTTCCCAGCTGAGTTCAGTTCCAGGATCAGGTGGTTTGATCACTTCGAGGAAACCAGTCACTCCTGCTAGTTTGGATATACCCAAAGTGCCTGATTTGTAAAATTTGAACCGAGGGAATTTGCTGATGCACTGTTCCCCATGTTCTTCTGTGCCCATTTGCTAGTACTAGTTCCCTAACCTTGTCGCCATTTCTTGGTGTATGGCTGCTGAGAGAATCCAGAGGATCCTGGAGCCTTTATGCGCTCAACTGTGGCTCCAGTTGTGCAATGGTGGTCTTTGGGTTCCTTGCCCATCCCACATCATCTGTCAACTGAATGGCCTTAAATTCCTCAATCCATGCTATAATAATATCAACACTCTTTCCAACCTCCTGTGTGGGTGGTGAATGCATTCCAGGCAGGAAGAGTGCCCACTTGATGACTTCAGCAACTTCCACTTCCATTCAATCTCCCAAATCTTTGAAGCAAAAATTCTCTTTCATCTAATAGTCTCAAGCCCCTGCACCTGAATTAAAAGTTTATTCTGTCACCCTTACCTAGGTATTGTTGGGTGTCGATTTTCAAATTAACTCCATCTTTAGTGTTTTTTAACTGATTCTCACCCATATCTCGACAATGAAGCACATTTGAGAAAAAGCAAACCTAAGGTGCACTAATATAGGTCACTACAAACAACATCCTATATTTATTTGCATACTATCTTCATTAGGGGGCCTCACAGTTGATTAAAGTGGAGCTAAACTGGGTTCTGAAGTGGTTCAAAATTGACCTAAATTCCACCTCAAGTGGGGCCTCAGTTTAGAGTGAGTTTAGGTCAAGTTTAGGTCACTTCAAGGGCACTCACAGTTAGGGTGGTTCTAAAGTGCGTCCAAAGTAGCTCGGGCCTGGATCTCATAAGTCCGTTCCATTCTGTGTCACGCAATCACTATACATCTGAATGCCATCTACTTCCAACTGCCAGCTCCTCATACATGCAGTGTGCTCTGTTGGAGGAACAACCTCAGAGCATATTTACATTGAACACGTTACATAGAATCAATTGCCATCCTGACTGAGTCAAGCCTTTGAACTGGTTCTTTTGATGAAGACTTGGGTGAATGGGAGCATGAAGTCGAACTAGAGCATGTTGTTTATATAGGTGTAATGTACAATCCATTGGGCTAATGACAACAAAGGAAACAGTGAACATGAAACTAGTGCAAAAGTCTGTTATGCTCCGGAGCATCAAGAGTGGCTGGAGCATGTGGGAGACAAAACAACAGATTGGGCACTCCTGGAGCCAATAGTGTTCTCCTGGGAGGGGGTTCAGGAGCAGCTGGGAGTGGTGAGGAGTATGCAATGTGCCAGGAGCAGTGGGAGGAAAATTTTGGTCTTTAAAAAGTTGAAAAAAAAAATTTAGGGAAAAAATCAAAAAAAATTCAGGAATTATAGTGCCTTTAGAGTGCTTTCAGGACATATAATTATTTGCGAAATTGAGGAAGAAATGATGGAGAAAAATGGAAAATACTTTCAGAGACCCAAGAAATAATGAGAACTGAATTGATGGGAAAGTCTGAAAATTGAATAGGAAAGTGAGGGGAAGCCTTGTAGCATTGTTATTTTCTGCTGTTCTGATTTTTCCTGATTGTTCTTGGTCTCACTCCCAGCTGCTCCTGGACCCTCCCAGGAGCTATCAGGAGCTTTCAGGAGTATTGAGGAGCAGCTGGGAATGAGACCAAGAAGAATTGGGAAAAATCAGAACAGCAGAAAATAACAATGCTCCAAGGCTTTCCTATTCAATTTTCAGACTTTCCCATCAATTCAGTTCTCATTATTTCTCAGGTCTCTGAAAGTATTTTCCATTAGCTGCTCCTGGACCCTCCCAGGAGCTTCCAGGAGTATCCAGGAGTATCCAGGAGCAGCTGGGAGTGAGACCAAGAAGAATCAGGAAAATTAGAACAGCAGAAAATAACAATGCTACAAGGCTTCCCCTCACTTTCCTATTCAATTTTCAGACTTTCCCATCAATTCAGTTCTCATTATTTCTCGGGTCTCCGAAAGTATTTTCCATTTTTCTCCATCATTTCTTCCTCAATTTCGCAAATAATTATATATCCTGAAAGCACTTCAAAGGCACTACAGTTCCTGAATTTTTTTGATTTTTTCCCTAATTATTTTTTTCAACTTTTAGAAGTCCCTATTTTTCAAATTTTCCTCATTTCCCTCTATATTCCCCCCTCATTCCCCCCTCATTCCCCCCTCATTTCCCCCCTCATTCCCCCCCATTTCCCCTCCTCCATATTCTGCAAGCCCGAAAGTGATTAAGTTGCCAGATTAATCATATATCAGGCCATAAATTTTGATTGTGTATTGGTGAGTCTCAGTGTCCTTGATATATAGTATAGTGTTTGATCTAAATGTTAAGCAGTGTCTTGTTGTGTTAGCCTTGTGGTAGGAGGTATTCATGGGAATCTTCCCTTTTTTTTCCCTTTTCATTTTCAAATGCTCCAGGAGCTCCCAGAAGCTTCTCACCCCTATAGACTTTGAAGCATTTAAATTGTATTTACTGGACATGTTTGTGCACAAAGCAATGCTCCATGCCCTCCTGGGAGTGCCCTGGAGTACCTGGCCAACTCCAGAGGAAATGAGCTGTTCCTGGACTGGCCAATCTCCTCCTGATTCTCCCAGTGCTCCCCATACTCTGGAGCACTCAGGAGCATAACAATTTTTTGCTGATGCTTCGTCCTTGTGTTGCATCTGCCATGACAACATGCAGCCCTCCAGCATGCTCTGTGAATACATGCACATCACCATCAACAATGCCAATGTCTAAAATTAAGGATCCACTCTTGAGTTCTAGTTCGGACACTGATGACAACAGTGACAACAATATCCATGTCAAGCAGCAGCAGCAGCATGGTGGAGGGAACAGACAGGTGACCTAGGTAGTAAACTGTACAGTTAGTGTTAACACGGACTTACTCAGTTTTAAAGCCGAGTTTAGATGGGTGACTTTAGGCAAATTGGGGCTCCTAAGCCCCAAGTCGAGAAGGACCTAAAGTGGCGACTTTAGATCTAGTTTTGACACACTTTTGTCACTAGAGTGCTTGCGCTTCGCTTGACTCTGCACAGCCCTTGTTTCCTTTCGCCTGTCCCAGCATGATGTCAGAAACTGTGTTCAAGGGGATCGTGGGAAGCGGGGCAGAGTACGGCGGCGTAAGTGGTCACTTAGCTAATGAGCTACTCCGTTGCAAGGCATCGAGGGGGTTGGGACTTCGGCTTCAATGACTTTGCCAGAGCATTGTGCCACGCGTTCTAGGCTGTCCCATATTTCACGTTAGTGGGAAAGACCTTGCGGCGACGTTGACTTAAGCGGGGATGAAGTTGAGAGGTGAACTTAAGATGAAAGTACTTGGGGGGGAATTCTAGTCGATATTCAAACTAAGGTACATCGACAGTAAACTACAAGTATAAATAAGAAAGGAGAACAGAGAAGGGACCAGTCGGTCCGGCGTGGGATGGGAGCGAGATGATAAGTACACACATCTGGCGCGATTGAACCCGTTGAATGCTAAATCACTTTCCATCCATGGCTGTCCAGCTGGAACTCGAACGGTCACGGGCCACTGGACTTGAGCGCGAAAAAAAAAGAAAGAAAGGAAAACACGAAAACGAAAACAAACCAACAGCACGTGCGATTCCCATGCTGGGCTTTGACAGCCAACAGCAAGTGGACACCCCGTTCGTGCCTCGGTCGGATGTCGTGCTCGACGGTGCTGGTGCATCGACTTCAGGTGTGGCTCGTCGGTTCAGGCCTCAACATCGATGGAGGTGGTTGCAGTTTGGCAGTTTTTGCGAGTGGTCCAACGCACCATGCTCGACACCCACAGGCCAGCGTCACACGTCTCAGCGAGCTGCCTTGTGTCCTGCCAGCATAGACATGGATTTCGACCGTACTTCAGGCCAAGACAAAAGCCGTCCCCATTGCGGGCAAGTGCTTCACCCCCCCCCCCTCTCCCCATACATGGATCCCGAGCTGGTGCGTTTGACCCTCTTCTTACCTTATCGCCTCTGCCAACATTCTGATGTTCTGATGTCTACTCATTCAGACTTGACTCATGTGCGGTGAAATTTCTCGATATCAGCAGCGTTCATCGCTCGCCTCTCTGCTCGCTTCGACACAGCCCGCCCAATTCCCCCTTCATTGTCGCTTCCACTGGCCAATATCGTTGCGATGAAATCGCCACATGTCAGCAGCATTCATCTCGCCTCTTTTCTTGCTCCACACACCAGCCTCCATCCCATCATTTTGGCTCCATGCACCTTTGGTGGCTCTCGCCACCTGCCCATCCTGGCACACCTCGCTTCCAACACCCTCATTTTTGCGAGCTCCTCCCAACATCGTCATTTCTGCCAGCAGTCCCAGTCTTTTTTTTCTCATGTACAATATTAATATTCAACACTCCCTAAATACAATCGAAACAAAAGTCAACGTGAGTTTGAGAAGAAAAAGAAATGGAATGAAAAATTTTTTCAGTGAACCTCGTTGTGTATGTGTAAGAGCGATCACGAGGACTGGGTGCATAAATTCGAGGGAAATATTGTATGAACGGTATTCAACGATCCCAATTCCGTGAGCCTGTTATTTGTAAAAGAAATAATTAATATGTGCGTTGTACATTATGGTGCAAATATTCAATAATATCAATTCAGTGAACCCTAGTTGTCTCAATTGTGGGACGTTGATGGCAGAAAACTTTGGCTTGCTTACCTGGCGAGAGAGAGTGGTTGATTTTTGGCTGGAAGACAGCGGCCTAGGTGGTGTGATCCTATCTCTGTCGAAGTCAGCCCCAAATATGCCACATTCAAGCCTATGGACAGTGTGCAAGAATAAACTCAATACAATAGCTGGACGGGGGCACGACTATTTGAGTGTAAGAAATTCATGTCAATTTTTGGCTGCCTGATAATTTACAGGAGGATGCAAGGTAGGAATATCTATCCTACATAATCAGTCCGCAAGCAATTGCATGGCCCCGTTGTCCTCAATAGAAGTGATAAGTACATATAAGTATTGTATAAGTGGATTATAAGCATTGATAGAAGGCCGATAGAAGGAGGATTTAATAATACATTCAAACGAATCAATGGTGGATTATTTGGGGGGAAAAAGAAAAGGTGGAAAGAACTATCGGACATTGCCGGGTTTGTTGCTCAACAACTCTCTGCCATGTGGCTGTCGTGCTATGGTCTCATCGTCTTGCGTGCCCCAGCAACCATGCAGCTCTGGGCTTGAGGAATCAGTCGTATCACCCTGAACCATTTTCTCTCCACTTCACGATGTCCGTCACACCTTCCTTGCTTCCCTAGTCTCGTGAGCGAATTTCAGTCAGATCGAGCATCTCCAAACAAAGCCTGGGCCAAGCTTTCTGGGTTGCCAGCACAAGAACTCACGCGCTGTGAAATGCCTTCGGCTATGCACTCCAATGGAGACTGTGGGTTGGCCACGATATTTGGGTTGCCATGACCAACCTCCATCCAATTCCCACTGTCCTGTTATGGGAGTGTCTGGCATTGTATCGAGCGGGTGCTGTCTTAGCCCTCCAACATGAAATGTATTTGCAGATATGCTCAAAATGGAAGGGACTTCTCACACAGGGCATCCACAGTGCACACGGTCCTAATGGGATACCCGGAGAGGCCGACATGATTGCCGCTCATTTCGTCGCTGTTGTCCAAGCAGAGGGGGCATCACTCCGTCCCAACCTTATCGACTTCTCCACGCATGTAGCTGGCCCTTACCCTGTGAGTCACTGATGAATGTTTTGGGGATATTGATGTTATAGCCAAGTCTGTGCTAACCCCTATCCCCAACTCTTTTTGCCTTGTTCATAGTTCATCCCCATGTCTGAGACCCCTCTCATCTTATTTGGCCTGCTTGAACAATATACCCCCACTGCAAGGAGCAGAAAATCGCTCGCCAAGGCCACAAAATAATACCCTCATTAAATGTAAGTGTTTGTGTGTTAAGTTACATTTGACACCCATGGAGAAAGCCCACCAGTTCAACGAATCCAATTCTGAAGATGGTTACGTGTGTTTTCGTCGACGAGATGTCAAGTCAGTCCATAAGACCCATCGGATGGATACAACACCTGCCGAAAAGGTCTCATGGCTACGGCAGGAGCTTATCAAGGCGAAAGATCTCGCTAACTTAACCGTTTTGCGTGAGGTCAAGAAGTTGGAGCTCAATAAGGATGTGCATAGCGTTCTCGAAGCGAGGATCAGGTTTATCGAATTGAAGAGGAAGCATCCACAGTTCTCATTGAGGACAGATGACCAACTACTTGTGGACCCTGACCGCATGTTGGCCAAGCGGCTGAAGATGATGTTGGAGCAGAAGTAAGTCGACAAGGATGGAACTGGGGGTATTTAATTTGCTAACATGAAAAAGTGCCATGTCACTGAAAATACCGTGACAAAGTAAGGATCCTACAGACTTAAATTCGCCCTATCTGGCCCTTGAAGAGCAAGTGCATCCACATGAGCGTGCCGAGTCATTCGCTAAGGAGATCGAGCGCTAATGCGAAGAACTCGGGCTGGGAGGATTATTTAGATGTCAGAGTCAAGATTCACATATTAATTGTCTTCTTTCTGATTGTCTGCCTATTTTAGCTCCCGATGAGTTTACCCATCTCAGCTCACTTTTTTCACGCTCTTTCCTTCGCTGTATCACCATCAAAGCCCTCGGTAGAGCACACAGGATGTTCACCATTCTCGATCCGAATACGTACAGGGCGAGGCAGGCCGTCATTCATCGATCGTTGCCCGTTCCACGGAAGAAGAAGAGGAGATCCTCAGAATACCCCACCCCCAGTTCCGCAATTATTTTCATCAACTCTCTCATCTGAGGGTGGACTTTGGTCCCACTCACCAAAAGAGTTGACCGTTCATATCAAGTCAGATGAGGGCGATGAAGGATGAGTATGTGCAGAAGATCAATGAGCAGTGGAGGTTCGACGATGATGTGGTAGTGATGGAAGAGGAGCAATGGGTATTGATTGATGACTTTGACGCTCAGTACGGTGTTTATTTGCATGCATAGGTCTTTGGGACTCATCTGCCATGATAGGTATATTCCCTCATGTCTTTCTCTATTTGGGGAATCGGAACTCATTGGGTTATCGGTGGACAAAGGCCACATCTGCAACGCTGAACTGTATGCCAACGCTAAACAGGAGTCTGGTCAACGGGCACTTATGGCAGCGTGGCACCAGACAACATCAGCTTCATCGCAACCCCAAACCTCTGCAGGCCCAGCGCCTCCACAACCTACTCCATCATACAATCCCTCCCCTCATTTATCCCCAACTTCCATGCATCCACCCACTCCCTCTGTTTCACCCATAGATCTTAACTCGGGTCTTACGCAAACTCTCCTACATGTCCGCCTTCTCAGATCACGCAGTAGTCCCCCATGGTCGTGCCTCAAATCACTGGCATGCCATTCCACAGCACATTACCGTTCAACTATACGCCAGGCCCCCAAGGTGTGCCGCAATATCCCAACCCAAATGGAACATCCCAACCATCTCAGCCATCTCAGATATCCATGGCGCAACAGTATTACTGCAGCACCAAGTATTACGGTGTACCTCGCAACAGCATGATGATGATGCCACCACCTCAAGCTTATCACGGCCTCCATATGGCAAACAATGCTGCAAATGGGGTGCCGCCAGTGATGAACATGTCCACCATGGGCATGCTGTTGGAGTTGCCTCCTCCGAGACAATGGCCATGTCATAGCGGTGGTCAGGCAGATATAAATGGCAACACTCCAAACGGTAATCCAGCAGGTTCTCCTGTCATGCAGCATCACGTCAACTCACCAAATCTTGGCTCACCCATACATATGAACGGGGAGTATGAACCCTCATCCATCCCTGCAACAGTTGCCATAACATCAACCCTCGCTGCTGATGGACGTACACCAGGGGACACCTCAAATTCTTTATCGCGCCACCGCTCCTCCTCGTTCTGCCCTGTCAGTATCTGACATCACGATGTTTCAATAACATCGCCAGCCACAATCACCTCACTTCACAATGCTGAGCCCCGCCCACCAGCATCAGTGTTTCATTCTCATCAGCATCTAACCCTGGGGTAGCAGCGACGGCGACATCACATGGACGTCTCTCGTCCATCACCTGCTCATTCGAGACAGCATGGCCCTCATCCCGACTTTCATCATCATGCTGAAAATGTGTTCACGAACAACTTTACGTCATTCTCTCAATTCTCCACACACATCCCCAAGCTGGATCAACAGGTTCGTTATCGAAGCCTTCCAGGAAACTCAACACCTCTGCTTCAGCACTCTCCCATTCTAACTCACTCGCACCACCATCAACTCCTTCAACGCCCACTTGTTCATCACCTCAATCTCCCTCGTCTCAACAAGCTGCTTCGAAGCCGTTCAAATCGGTGACGGGTATGAGCCCAGGGATGCCTTCGAATACCGTTTCGAGTGCGACGACGACGACAACGTTAGCGAATACAATGCCTGTCACTTGAAGGGCCGCCACACCGTTGGGGTCGGCCACTTCATCGCCTCGTTCACACTCTCATCATGGACACCCATTACCTTCCACATCAATTTCTTCTTCTTCCCATTCACCTGTTAGCCCTCAGCTCGCCATGAATACATCTTTCTCTTCACCCACATCCTCCACCTCATCAACTCCCAATTCCACACTACTCTCAAAGTCACCCACTCCTATCTCCACCCACACCCACCCTACAACTAACTCAACTTCGATGACAGCGTCATCACCATCATCATTAACAATGACGTTGCCATGTCCAGCACCTGTAATGGGTTCCGTACCACCAGCGAAGATGGGACAGTCACCGCAAACAAAACATTACTTGCTGAAGCAGCAGATGCCTCCAGATGCCTCCACAACTGTATGTTCAGGCTCAACCTCAGTATGTTACTAATGTGTACCGCCAGGGTGGAGTGCAAGTTGCGTGTCAATGTATGGACAGAGGATCGGTGGACTTGTGATGACGACGACATCAAATTGAGCTCGAGTTGAGTGGATGCAAACGAACCATTAATGAAGCCGAAAAAAGTACCATACTTCCGAAAAAAAATTTGGTGTTGCACGTCATACATCTGTGCATCTGTTCCGGGGGCACGAGCACCCTGTGCTGGTATGGCATATCATAAAAAACACAAAGGTGCTTGCGATCACTGTCCATTTGCCCTGTTATCTTATCAATGGGGATGAGGGCAATCGAGATTACTCTCCAACTTGCCATCCGCTATCGATTGACCTGCAGCGGTGGGCAGTATCCAAAATTGTATGAGTATTGTATCTGATGTCCTTGCCGACTTTGTAAATATAGTTAGATAATTCAATCTGCAGTGGAAGACTCGGAATGGGGGGAGAGCCATAGGGTGTTGAGGAAGACCGCGCATCCTACTTTCTGCGCACAGACGCTTGATGCTTGTGACCCGGTACCGAGAACAGTTGGGCATTCAGTTTGTTTCTTGCTGCCTCTCCCCTCGCTATGCCGAAAGCTAAATCTGCATGCCCAGCTACAGCAAAGGCAACAAAACTTCGGAAGAAGTTGATTCCTTATGCTCAGCCAGAGTCAGGCCCAAGTACAGCTAGCGCATACATCCAGGCTCACCTTCGGTCGGCCTCTACCATTCGTAATTACAACTCCGCAATTAATGGAGCTCGAACCTGGCTCGAACTTAAGTGCATTAAGTACACAAGCCTGACTGAGGACCGAGTTGATGAGTCGGAGCTGGGTCTGTTCCGACACAAGGATGCGTGCATAGCCTTTGAGAAACCTGTTGAGGTCACAGCGCATCTGCTAGCAAAATATATTATGTTCCGGGTTGCAGAAGAAGACAGGTCGGTCTCCGTTGTGGACACCTTGCGCTCTGCCTTCAAGTGGCACTTCCATAACCTGTCAGTGTTCACTTCCGTGAGCAGTTTTTCTGGAATCCCACATCTGTCGCTTGTTATAGAGGATTTGAAGGCCCTTGGTATCCACGACCCGACCCTCAGGAGTGCAGGGGCAACCCATGCGACTCCCAGCTGATTATTGACCTTGTTAAGTCAGTGAAGAACCACTGCGCATCTGAGGGCACAGTCCGGAATCATGCAAGGGCCATACGGATCAATGACATAAAGGCAATGCAGAGCATCACAGCTGCTTACTGTTCTCCGAGCCTTATCGTGGATGCGCTGAATCCAGAAATCCCTGATGATTTCTTTACTCTCAAACAGCATGATGACATCCGTTCACACCTCATGCTTTGTGCCCTAACCTCATTGGGCTGGACACTGTGGACAAGGCATCTTCACCTTGTGCTTATGGCTCGCTAGTCGGCGCTGACTACTACTTGTATTTCTAAATCTAGAAATGAAGAACTCACGTCCATCCTCATCCGGCACCTTGACTGGGGACATGAGGAGACTGCTCACAATCTTCAACACCTCCGCGTCACTTTGGTCAACCGAAAGGGTTGGCAGAAACGGAATCAGGATGGCAAGCAAGGTAGCCAAGGTAATCCATCCCAAGTATCGGGTTGCTGCATTGCCGTACTAAGATCAGGTTTCAGGGAGCCAGTACAACATCTATCCACTCTATGGCCATGATACGTTTTCCCATCACCATGATCCTCACACGATCCCGCAGCTGGACACGTACGTTCATGTGATGCACTGGATTCAATTCCTCTCCACTCGGTATTGTGGCCAAACACCTTTAAAGGCTCACTATCCCCTCTTCCCCTCATGCTCGCCCCGTTCTCATGATATCCGCTGGGATACCACTCTTTCCACCACTGCCGTCAACGATCTCTTGGCGTCCTATGGAAAGCAAGCGCATCTGGAGACTGACCGGCTCACATCCCACTGCTTCAGACGTGGCGGACTCCAATACTGGTTCATTCTCGCACCAGTCTTCAGACGGTGGCCGCTTAATCACTGCCAGTGGTGGGGGGGTTGGGCTCCAGGAGAAAGTGTAGGCTGCTGTCCCTGGTTTTGGTTTTATGCACTCACATCTCCATTTTTAGGCGTCAACCCTCCTCAAGTATGCTACTGACATGCTGGCAGATGTTGAGCATAACTACAGTGATGCCCTTGCACCAGTCCACATTGACTACTCCGAATCTCAGAACGGAGCGAAGTCACACCTCAATCCCATGACCGCGGAGGAGACCCATTCTCAATTCGGTCACCTTGGCATGTGCATAGGCTATGTCGAGTCTCAGCTCCGAAGGCTTGATCAGATCGAAGCTGGATTCAATACCATTCAAGCATCTCTAGATGAACTCAAGTACTATGCAATGGGGACGCTCGTCCCTCACTATCACCCACTCACCACCCGGCACCGCTCTCCAGGTGAGCCCATTCCATATGGAATTGGTAGGCGGTTTGGTTTGGTACGCTTACAACTTTGATTCAAACAGTAACAGTAACGCCAGTGCCCCGAACGTTCCCATTCCCACCTCCTCACATCATACCTCCTCATCCAGCCCCGCGTCCACTTAACCCACACCCTCCCAGTCCCAGGCAACCTCAGGAACATCGCGACGACGGTCGGCCAGCTCCAGGGGCTGGCCACATCACCATCCCACACGTCTCCACACTCGAAGATGTGATAAAGCAGTGGCTATGTGGGGATGGAAATGAGCTTAAAGTCCCTCTGAAGAAGTGGGAGAAGGGATGGTATACTGGCCGATACTTGGGCGTGCACGGGACGAAATACAACAACCGCCGATGGGTTGGCCAGAAATACGACGAGTTTGTGTAGGCTATTCTGGTCACTGGGCACTTGCTGATGTCGCTTTCCTGACCGTGTAGGATGGGCGAAGCGAAGTTCCTCAGGCACTACGGACTCAAGATGACCGACAATTTCGGTACGGCCCTCAAGGCGATCACGGAGGAAGGGAAGAGGGACAGGTTCATTCAGAGTCGTAATGGCAAAAAATCACACCGAGCATGAACTCTTTCTTTCTTTTTTCTCATTTTCATGTGGACTTACAATTACAATACAACTGCTTGTTTGTCGATCGTCGGCATTCAGAGTCGTAAGTCGTAACAGCAAAAAATCACGCCAACGAGCGTGAACTCTAGATCGGACATGTGTATAGGGGGGGGGGGGATGATTACAATGAATTTATTCATGTGGACTTACAACTGCTTGTCAATTATCGACATGCAGAACGACTTGGTTTGGAAAACCCCATCACCCATCTCCATCTCCTCTCTCTCTCTCCCTCAAATCTTCATGGTTCCGGGTGAGATCAACGGCGTTCGAATGTGCTCGAGGGGAAGGATCCAACGGACATTTTTCCGATTTTCTTAAGCCATTTCTTGCAGCTGGGACAAAGAAGATCGCGAAAAAATCGAGCGAATAAGGCGAGCGAGTCCAGAAAATCTCACGGCCCATATCTCCGTCGCATCCCAACCATTCAACACAAGACCGACAGCGTTCGAAAGCCCCCAGGTGGGCGAATCCAACACCACCTGTGTCATTCCAAATGGTGGAGATCCAGTGGAGACATGATGGGAGTGCATTGGGCTGTTCCAGAACGAAACGCTGACGGCAGCAGCGGTACTGTATACTGCAAGCAATCCAGATGGATGCCAGGGGCCCATGGGGTGGGGTGGGATGGATGGATGAGGACCACAACGTGATGACTGGGTGATGTGAACGAATGAATGAAATGATCAAAATATATATATATATATCCAAACCAACCAGGCTCACCAAACCAAAGCGCAAAGCGCACCGAAATCCAAGCGTAAAACCAGGCCCAACCACACACACACACACACACACACACGTTCACAAACGATGGAAGGACACGGATGGATGCAAAAAGCGACACCCCCTTCCCAATCGGGATGACTGAATGCGCGCACCCTCAGGTTTGGATCCGGAGCGCTAAATCCCAGGATATAAGTACGACAGAACTAAAGAGCGATGAGGACCAGGGTAATGGAACAGAGGACGGCGAAGTTGGGAGGCAGAATGGATAGGCCGACAATCTAGGCGCATGGATCAGAATGTCAATATATGTATAAATCAAATATCAATAAAGGAATAATCAATTGTCAATAAAGGAATGTCAATAAGGAGCAGATCAATGGCGACCATAACAACCGCTAGTTAGTTAAGCGAGTGAATAGAATAAAACGGTACCGGCCAAATGCTTGAGGAACCCAAGTGATGGCGGGAGAACGAAGGAGGCGCTGCTATGGGGCTGTAGAATGGGAACCACTATCGGCGCTGCTAAGTGATGGGCAGTGGCGAGATTAACGGGCGTGAGCAACAGCGCAAGGGTGGGGGTGCAGAAAGTGGTAGAGGGGCAGGGACTTTGCGGGGCCATGACACATGAATCTATTTCAATTTTTTTTTCAGCTCATTTTGCGAATATAAGTAGGCTATAAAAATATGTGTTTAATTGGAATGCAGACATCCAACAAACACAATCCAATTTTTCCAGTCATTCAGAGTCTGGAATTATTTAAAGGCAAAGCAAAAAGGTGGTATGGCGACAAATCACAGTGGAACCAGCATACACCTTCACGGACCACCATGCCCAAGGACAGATGATGGAATACCTGTGGTCAGACATAGGAACATCATCAAGGGGCACTTTTAATGCATGCATGACATTGTCATGTGCAAGAGGAAGAAAAAGCATATGGTTAAACCGAGACCTTAAGGACAAGAGCCGAGTGGGAGTGGAAATGGTGGAAGGAAGGGACAGGCAAGATGACGTAAAAGAAAGCATGTAAAGAAAAGGAAACAACCCAAAAGGGAAGATGATGACAAATTTTCAGCGTCGCCAATTGCGTAATATCGGGAGTGGTTAGTGACTCTGGTGCAGAGTAACTTTAGGTTCACTTGAGAAATCTCACTTGAGATCCAGTTTAGGCGAATTTATTCAACCGTGAGCCCCCCTATTGTGTGCAGAGGAAAACGTCCCGCCATTTTTGGGATAGCTAGCACAGCCACAAAACTGTGGGCAGTCACAACCTTGGTTGCCGACCCTCAGGGTTTTGTAGGTTCACTTAAATCGCAAACGCTTGAAAACTGAATGTGCAACCAAAATATCACAGAAAGGGGTTGCAATCTTGGTGAGAGAAGAACGGATTCATCAGAAGGAAGAGAGAGATAGGGATTATAGGTGACAGGGAAAAAAGAGAAGGATAAATGATACATAAATGGGCTGAGGCGATGAGCACACGAAAAAAAAAAGCAAATGGCATTTGTTAAGCAGTGATCGATTCATTTGATTGGGAATAAAAAGTGAAGAAGGGACGCGAACGAAATGGGTCACCATAGGCAGTACGGTATATAAATTAGAGAGAAAGGATTGACAATTGAGGCCACAACGTGCGAGTCAGCGGTGATAATGGAAAGAACGATTCTACTATTGATGACGGAGTGTATTGTACATTCCCTATAATGCAAGTCAGAGGGCTGATCAAAGGGCGGCAAACGGGGTCGCCCACCTCGGCTTTGATATGGGAAGACCTTTCACGGCGAATACTACTGTTAGATGCTAGAACGAATATATAAGGGACAGCTATCAAGGCGCTCGGACACTGGAACCTACCAGGGAAGGGATGGGGAAGACCCTTGCTGGGGCCTTCGGAATGGAAGAGCTGTGGACGCCATTCAGGACGTTCGTTCAGAACAGCGCTATTCCTAAATTTATCGACGAGAGCTGATTTTCCCCTAAGCCAAAGATTAAGATGCATTCGAGGGGATTCGAGAGATATGTGACCGGACGTACTGGTAATTGGCATAACTCATTTGCAACACTTTCTCGGATTGGAACATGTTCCTGGGGGGTGAAGTGAATCCATCAGTTGGGACTAGAAAGGTATGTGTAATGCGCATACATACCACTTCTTGCCCAAGCACTGCTTACAAAACTTCAACAAGTCTGTGGTCTCAATAAAGTTAACGAACGCATATCTATGTTGACAGAAGTCGGAGATCGGCTCAGTAGAATTATTCCTTTGGATCAGGGTTATCTTACCCGACGTTGCACTGATTCTGAAAATCGATACGGAGATAAAGAAAGTCGACGGCTCGAGGGCAAACCTATTGTCGACCACACGTTCAACTCCCGAACACTCCACCAAAGATTTAAAGAGGAAAAAAAAAACAACTCACTGCCCCAATAAAGTTCTGCAAATCCTTCGAGGTCATCTATGGCCACTTCAAAGTCAACCAGGGAAACAATTCAAACAAACCATCAACTTGCCTTATTCGGAATGTTCTTCAACATGACCGTAGTCCTCGTATCCAACCCCGCCTCGATCCTCTCCACATCGATAATATTCGCTTCAGGGATGGGTTTCCTCTCTCTATTCATCCCACCAAGCGTCATACTAGTACGAAGTCCAGATCCATGGATACCGCGGCCTAGAGCCCCAACCAAGGAAGAGCCTGACCCAGAGGCAAGACTGGCCGAACTTGAGGAGAACCGTTGGCCGGGGGTTGTTGGCATTTTGACTTCATGATGATGAGACTTCATTCGGGTCGGCAAAGAGCCCGCGGAAAGAGAAGAATCCGAAGTCCCATTCAGCATGCCGTGGACTTCATGACCTGCATACGCATTCCCCCTCCATCTTGGATTCTTCGTGACGGCTTCCAATCCACTGTCGCTACCGGAACGAGTATTTGCTCTCCCAGAGACACAACCCGGTGTCGTTTGAGCGGAATAATGCGCTGTGGATTGATGGGCGCCCTCCGCAGCGTGGTCCTCCGGGCCCCATCCTGAAGCAGACGTAGGCGTCCCAACATGAGGCGAATCACTCGCCGATGCAGAGGCATTCGACGGTGCTGCTAATCCGGGGAGGGGAGATGCGTGACTATGCTGAAGGTACACGCCAGGTGCGTATGGCGCATAGTCGTAGTAAGGGATGGAGTGGTGAGCAAGCGGAAAATGAGTGGCATGGCCATGGTGGGGTGGAGGTGAAGGGTGGTGGTTGGTAACATTGGGGAGAGGAAGAGGATAGTTGGGCGCGACCGATTGAAAATGAGCAGAGTTAGGGGATGTAGTTTGAGTTTGCGAAAGTGTAGCGTAGGCATAAGGTGGCATCGCCATGTTAAGGTTGGGATGAGGGTATACGTCGTAGAGCCTCGCTGGGTCTGATATAGCACTCGCGACCGTCTTGTCTCCAGGGTCTGAGGAATCACCCCCGTTCATGGCTTCCACTCCGTAAGGCTCGGCGGCAGGCTGAGGTGAGTACGCAGGAATGTAAGGTGGGGTAAACAAGTGTGCGTGCGATGCTGTTGCAGGATCCTCAGGCGAACCCCAATGTACGGCATGAGGGACAGGCGAAAGCGAAACAGGCATCATACCAGGATGGGGAGGCGGAAGCGCAAGGGTAACGGGAGCTGCGGTCCTCGAGGAAGGAGCATTAGAAGCAGGAGAGTTCGAATGATAGTACTGGGCTGAATAAGATTGAGCGTAATGATGCGGAGCTGCCCAGGGAACATGCGGGGATGAAGTATGGGGAGGAACGACAGCGCTAGCAGGCGCCCACTCGGTAATGGTGGGAGCTGAATTCGGACCATGATTCCATGACAGATTACCGGGTCCGCCTGGAGCAAAAAGTGCCATCTCGCCTTCTACGCGTCCGATTGCGCTTTTAATTTCCTCTTTATACAAGTCGTCTGCGGCGCCATTGGCGTCGGCTTGATGACCAGGAACGAATCCGAGACCATTGGAGGTAATAGAAGAAATGGAAGGGTATTGGGAAGAAATAGAAGAAGTAGAATGAGGATGTCCTTGTCGCGTTTGGGAAGCAACTGAATCAGGAAGAATAGAAAGATCGCGACGAGGCGTAGCAGGTGCCGTCCTTGGAGTAGCTTTCATCTTACCCTTTCGTCCACCTCCACCAGATCCCGAAATGGCAGCATTCTGCTCATCTCCACCAGTACCAGAGCCTTCAACGGCTGCTCCAGCATCCTCACCCTCCCTCTCCTCTACTTCGTTCGCAGAACGTTGAACATCCCCCTGCTCAGAGTCTTCATCCTTCTTCGACTGCAAACGCCTCGCAATAGCTCCAAGCTCCATCTGCAAACTCGTTAATTCTCCAGGTAAGAAAGACGCTGAACCAGTCGAAGAACGTCTCGTAAAAGGTGGAGAAGGCGTCGTTCGCTTTCGCGAATTATCAACATCCAATAACGCCTTTGTCTTTGAAGATGGCAACAGCGGCGTGCCAGGAGGCGCCCCACTGGCAGCGCCACCATCATTATTACCCACGCCTTCCTTCCCCATACCGCCATCGTTGGCGGCAGCGACAAGGGTTACCTCAGGGATGGGATGTTCCACCAATTGAACGCTCAGCTTCACGACCCCCTCTCCTTTACCTTCGATGAAAAGTCGAACGATACCTCTTTCTCCTTCCCCACCACCCTTCTTTCCTTTGTTGGGTTGGTCGCCTACTGCAGCATTGGCGTCGGAAGATCCAAAAGTGGTAATAAGGACCCTCGCAGCTCTGCAATCAAAATACTCGACTCTATACACCAACACAAAAGGACCCTGGACTTCTTCGGGTAGCGAAGCTTGTGGCGGTGGCTTTTTTCTCTCTTGCTGCACTTGGAAACTCATGAGATCTCCATAATTTTCCAGAAACCTACGTAACGTCGGCGGTGTTCCGGTTGAAGTGGCAGGAAAAGCAGGATGGGGAGATGGGACCATTGCGGAAAGAGGGGATACTGGAATGAGCGTGATCTCGAGTGTACCATTTGACTCTGAAATGAATTTCGAAGGTCCAACGAGCTGTATCGGGGGGTGGATTTGATCGATTAGTTCATTTCGGAGATAAAGAAAAAGGCGAAGTTAAGGGAAAGAGACAATAAACAACGGCAAAACCACTCATGGTGTTGAAGAAGAAAAAAGGAGCGCTTACGCGGTAGAGTTCTCTAATTGAAACGAATCTGGATGCAACTTTCTTCCCATTGCCGTTGTTCGTCATTTGCAGCGAGGGGATGAACCTCGACGAGAGGAAAGCTTGATGCGCATGTATAGCGGTACGGACATCATAAAACGCCAGTATAATCTAGGGGGGGGGAGGGGGGGAAAGCGAAATCAAAGCGATCAGAATTGAAATTTCAGGAGTTGATGATGATGTAATAGTCCAAGGGGGGAGGGTCATGGGGTTGGATGGAGGGTGAGGGAAAGGCGTGGAATGGAGCGTGTATCGATATGACGTTCAGCAGTTTGGGTGCAGATCGGAAGGTACAACTCACGATGCCATGCTTTGCCAGTAAGCCAATATACATCCCCTTCAAATCACCAAATGCTATCGGGAACGGTCGAGGACAGCATCAGTTACGAGAAATTTCACTTGAAAAAAATAAAAAAAAAAAAACACCACTAATGAAATCGAAACTCACCCCCAAATTCCTCCTTCATTTTCTCAACATCCCACGAGCCAATCGTAGCCTCGGATCCACCACTCCCCTTCTCACATTCAGATCCCACCGTCGACGCCCCAGCTCCCACTGGACCTGGACCGACGTACAAAAACAGAAATCGACCCGGTGACTGTGGAGCATCGAGATTCCCTTCCACGCCCACCACGCTGACACCACCTAATCCAATACCCGTATCCAACCCGCCGTTCGGAGTGGAGCCGACGACCTCATCTGAAGATGACCCATATGGCGAACTTGCGATAGAGGTGGGCTCCACTAGGGAATTAGTGCCAGAGGAATGGGGAGAATCAAACGAAGAAGAAGACGGATTTCCTTGCTTTGGTGTGACGGGTGTGAGGGGAACATAACGACCTTGTTGTCCCCCCACATACGTCGGCTTATCTTTGCCAGTGGATGCAGGAGGTGTAGAATGAGCATCATTTCCGACGATATTACTTTCGACGAATCCCACACTTTCGTCAACCTCTTCGATCAGTTTTGACGAAGAGGAGAGCGCGTGTGCGGGCGTAAGAGGTGGAGTAAGAGGAGATGGGTGTCTTCCGATGGGTGGGTTGTTCGTGGAAGGGGTAGCGATGAGGGAAGAAGAGTCTTCTGCCATCGGTGGCGTAGTTCCCGTGGAATTGCGTGTAGCGGCGCTAGTGACATGATATGAAGGTGGCGTACGAGGAACGACGACAATAGGTATGGGGGATTTATCCATCGTACCGGCTATCGTCGGAAGCGTAGTGTTATTCGTAGTCATAGAAGTAGGAGTTGGAGTTGTAGAAGAGGACGTAGACGCTGACACAGTAGTAGAAGAGGCCGAAGAATTCGGAGAGGACGTAGCAACAAGGGGGCCAGGAGCTGGAGTCACACTATTATTATGGATCGCGTTCTTCTTGCTTCCGTTCGTTGCGGATGCAGCGTGTTGATGTTGATGGAGAGATTGGGGAGCCTGGTGTTGACGGTATGGTGATTAGCGTTTATGATAGCAAGGGGGGGGGGGGGGGTGGATTCCCAATGATCAGAAACCAAGGAATAGGGTGATTCACGAGAGAAGGGAATCAAGGAATACAGAGAAGACATAATTGGATGATAAGGGAGTAAGTAACCACCCCTAACGAACGGGTGGCTTAGAGGATTCTGGTGACCTGTCGTACGAGCGGATCCAGGGTCACGAGTGACAAGGATCGCAAGCAACGCAAGCGAGGTGTTCAAGGCCCCTAATCGAGCGTGTATATAGGGCCCGGGGACCGGGAAGAGTGAAGGCAGCCAATGTGATGCAATATGAAAGAAAAAAAAAAAAAACAGAGCAAGAAAAAGAGCAAACATAAATAAACACTCCCAGAAACATACCTGAGCTCGAGCCTGAGTAAAATCGCGACCAACACTACTACTATTCTCCGAGCGACTCATCGAAGTAGTCGTTTGTCGTTGAACGACGAATGGATATCAATCTACCAACCAACCAACCAGCAACGGTAGCAAGCCTTTTTAGAGCTCGATCCCGGTGTGGACGCGGATTCGGTCCGCCCTTCGGCCGATTCCCCAAAAAGGTTGAGCTTGATGACGATGCAAGGATGGGGGGTATTCAAGAGAGCAACCAGAATTTATGATGATTAGAATATCACAAGATAGCAAGAAGACGAAGAGGAAGGAAGAGATGAAGGAGGGGGGCAGAGATGGGGGGAAAGGGAAAGAGTGAACGGATAGGCAGTCGGGGTATCGCGACCCTTATATGTGAGTCCTGAACTAAACGCGATGGATTTTCCTCAGCTTCCTCGTTGAATTTTTGATATTGTGTTTGATGTATGTTGTTACACGATACTTTGGGAAGAAGAACAAACTCACAGTTTCGGAACATGATTGCCACCGAGGACAATGTGGAAGAATGGTATTGGGCCGAAGTGGGGGAACGGGACGATTAACCTTGGCAGAGTGAGGCAAGTTTTGCACGAGGTGCAAGACCACGACTGTGGACTAGATGGATCAGACGAGAACACATAGTATTGAGGTCGAATCAGGTTAGATATGCGTGCGCAATGGATGTGTGAGGAAGTGTATCGTTGAGATTGATCCAAGTTGGCTGGCGACATGAATCCTTTGCGGCTTCTCCCAGCTAGGAAGTGCCCGGGTACCGTTATGGCGGTTTATTGAACAGAGTAAAGGAGAAGGTGACAGCCGAAACGCCGATAAAACCACGAAGGGAGGGGGGGGTCAGGGCGCCCAGGAAGGGTTGGCATGGGAAGCGTTACACCAACAGAAACCAAGTTGCCTGCTGTAAAGGGGCTTCTCATTGCGAGTTTCAATACAATGACCATTTATTCCTTCAATGGTTCTAGGTCTCCCTAACCCTGGCGATTTACGCATTTGGACAGAAAGAGTCCTCCGGGATTTTCGAAGAGCATTTTGGGACCACCAAGTTCAATAGGAACTGAAGGGCCCATGGGAACACATGAGCGAAGAGGGCAAGTGCCAAGGGTGCACATGGGTGAGAGCCGCATCTCATTAATCTAGTTGACTTCAACTTGAAGCACATATGGAGCCGCCCCCAACTGGCGGATTTACATGTTTCCCGCGAAATAACAAACTGGTGACTTTGACGACTACCGCTTACGGGGTCAAGTCCGGTTACGGTCCACACACAACAAAGACGCGACTCCCAAGTCCAGAAAAAGGAGGCACCGCCGCCCTCAGTTCTCAGTTACAAGTTTTAGTTCGTGAAGGTAGAGCACCGTCTTCCATAATCATAGATGGATGCCAAGATTTACGATAGAGCGAAATGCTTCCAGACCATATCATCGCCATTAACCACAACGAGTGAATCCTGGGCGCTTGGAGCTGTCAAATTTCAATTTGCTACATCACGTGTTCTGACCAAACAATTCAGATCTCGTTCTCATGCGGCGGAGTTGTGGTGAACTCAAACTGCTCTGAAAGGAGCCGAATTTCTAAAGAGGTCCCGTGCGACTGACCCCAGAAGCAGCAACCCCCATCGTGCGCTGAGGACAGTGAGCAGCCGAGGAACGGAGGGGACCATGATGGACGCAATCGGAGCAGAAATAGAAGCAACCCAACACCTAAGCCGACTCTACCCAACCAGAAGATCTTACACACCCGACCAGATCCCTCATGTACGGTGTAAAGAGCCGGGATAGCCGCACTGCCACACATACACACACACTCAACTGCTTTCTCAGATTCTCTTCACGCCCGTTTTGCTCAGTCTTGAGACAACCGAAACTGGTCACGATTCTGTTTTTACCCTTCATTGTTTACTCCAATGATCTCGCACGCCTACTCGACGGGGCCCATTCGGGAGACCCTTCTAACCGTAATCCGTGGCCGTTATTCGATCTAGTTTAAACACCAGACCAGTGGAAGGGCAGATCATTCCATATCTTGAAGGGTCTATATTTATTTTGGCTCATCGAGTCCAGACCTTGATCAGCTCGCTTAGACATCAACAGTGCAGTACTTCCGCCGGGAGGTTCACCTCTCTTTTTTTCCGTCAGTAGTTGAACCCTCATGACTAACACCGTGTAGGAAATGACTTGCTCAGTCTTCTTAATTCCCAATGCCGCAAAAACTAGGGTTGGTGAAACGAAAGCAAGTAATTTGGTCTCTATTGTCGTTCCATCCGCGTTTTCCGAGTCCTCTGCCATTGCCACTACTTGAAAAGATCTCCATCGAAAAGCAGATGACCACATTTCAACAACTTCGCCGTGCGACTCTGTCGATTCGCACGGGGTCATTTTGGTCCTGGTTGTTCCAACCCCTCTTGCGTGGAGCTTGAATTAACTTTCCAATTCACACACATCCCTGATCTGTGCGTCGTAACGATGTGGTGTGGTGTGAATAGCCATGTTGGTCTTTCCATTTCAGGTGGAATGTTTGAGCATCCAGGCTGTAAAAGACGCATCTTTTCGTCACACTTTTAAAGCAAACATTACAACTGTCGAATCCATTGATTGACTAGCCTAATTGGCTTCCGACGAGCGATGCATGCGTGCACCCCTGACCATTCCGCTAGCTATCCCTGAAGTATATATACGATGCAGAACTCTCGGCCGTATTAACTAGGCTGCGACCATGGCGCCTCTCCAACAATTACGTTGACGTACCACGCAGTCATATATAACCAACATCATTTGCACACATTGCTTCATACCGGAAGTCCGGCGCATGCCTATTTCCGTAGTCAAGGCTTGCAATCCGATCATGACCGCCATATCAGCGATCGATGACGTTTGCGGCTATGCAATGTTACCCGATCTGGTCATGATTTCTTCACGGTCCCACGCCTCGTACCGCACTTATTCCCCAGCTGGTAAGTCGCGTTAGCGCTGTCAGTCTCATGACATATATATCTAAGATACCACCCACAGTTCCAACAAAGAATGAAGGCGCTATGAACATCGAGAATGCTACACAAAACTTGCGACTTCGTAACTTGCGCATGGACCTGCGACCCAAATTCTTATACACAAGATTCCCCCCACAAATACATTTCATCTTATCCGACCGAATCTCCGATTTCACCGCCTATCACTGACTCGCTTAGGAGCATCGATTCACGAAGCGAGCATTGGAGCCGTAGTCCCTGAAGGTGCGATATTGGTCAATCCGCCACGTGAAATGATGTATGGAAACGCGAAAAGAATGGTTCCAACGATAGCGCACAGGGCAGTTACCACACGTGCCACAAGGTTCCCAAGCGTGAGGCATTTCGGGCGATAAAATACATGAAACGAACACGTACGTGGCAACGTCTGCACGTCCTGGATGACGTTTTTTTGTATACGGTCACCCACCGATAAGCGTGGAAAGGACGAGGGCTGCTTGGAATAACCTGCTCTGTATTAAAACATTGGAGAAAGTAGACATTGTATATTTCGCATCACTTACAACGGCATCCTCGACATATCCAACTACCGAGTTTGCGTCCCTGAGAATGCTGTTCTGTAGTGATGTGTTCGTTATGGCCCCGACCTCGACTAGACCCGCAAGATGGGACCAGCCAAGGCTGAGCTGATCGCGTCTTCGACGCCTCCTTGGCACCCGGAGATTACCAAACCAGTTCCTGGAACTGCATGTCAGTATGAGTGTGAATACGCTTGCTCGAACGTGTTACCTGCTGGGACCCCAACGGAGCGTTATTTCGATCCACGACATTGCAAATGCATGGGGTGACATAGCTGAGCGCGAGTGCATATCATGCCGTAGCAAGCAGAAGATCATCAAGTAGCTCGGTATGTTTTTGAAGAAAAAGAATGCCACGGGTGAAAAAAACTGCGGGTCACTTGGGACTGAGTAGTCGTTAGCGGGGGTCGATGCCTCGGACGAATCCAAAAGGGGCGGAGACCATCCCGCTATTACATGCCATTGTGCCAATATTGGAGTTGGCATAGGGTTTAGCGGAGCAGTTACGGGAAAGAGTCCCCGATAAGTATGTTGTACGAGTTGGCGGTGTTTGGGTTTGATATATATTACTGGTAATGGAACTGGGGCACACGTGGCTTGCATCGACAATCTCCTGCCAGAATGCAACGCTCACGTCCACACCTTGGGCGAAAGCACTTGGATCCACGAGCTGAAGGCAATAATGATCAAAGGTAGCATAGTGATGAACCGACAACGAGTACCTATGGCAGTAAAGCTCAGCACCGGCCACTCAGATGCCCCCAGTCTTGCTAGTGGTGTCATTAGGAATAAATGGAGAATACAGAGCGCCGATCCGGCCTAGAGATAACTCAGTACCTGTTGAAGGACTCCTTATGATATTGCCTAACTAACGGTGCCAACAAACTGGAACGTCGGATCAGTTGTCATTGGTGAATGGTACACCACGGAATCGCGCACCCCTGCAGCATCCACAAACGGGGTACATCTCTTTTATTCGTATTGGGATCTGTGGCAGTTCTGTAGCGCAACTCGGGATGTCCCATGTCCGTTCAGCTCGAATTCCGTGATACACACATAAGAGACTATAGCGAGTTGTAAATCGCCATACGGATGCGTCCTCAGACAGTCGGACTGGTGAAAAACTGGGATTGTAACTCGTTCACTTGTACAGACGCGTACTTAATTTGGAATGGAAACATGATGAGTGTCACGACTTGTCGAGTAACATAACGAACCTAATCTCGTGAATGGGAACTGAGGGGAAGGGGAACGAAGTTTTAACAAGCTCCGTTCCTGGAACATCAGTGTCAGACAAGCCAACAATAGAATCCATCAGTCAATCAGAATAATTAACCTCAGAGATATGAGATGGCTATTTCTGAGGCAGAGGTGATGTTAGTGTAAGTAAGGTTTGTCCCGTTAGGTGTAACGATGTTTCGAATGGTCGCTCCCCTCGGACCAACTTCCAGCCCCCCGTGTTTGCGATCGTGACGAGCGAACGTGTTGTAGAAATTGATACTGCCCACAAAAGACTGAGAGTTGGGCCCCTCGATACCCCATGATGCCGCGGTACAGACAGGAGGTATAACTGAAGGCATGTATCCTTTCGCCGCGCGGCCAGTGGTTAAATTCTCAACAGTTCCGTTGTATCCGTTGTCCGACACTTCTACAGTTATCCTAGCTATATCCCTGGCATTGAAGGATACTACCGGGGGAATGGGTGCCTGTGCTGGTCAAGGTACAGTAACGAATAAGTAATCAACACACTGCACGAAAGTCAGCCTCATTAGGTACGTACCAAAGACTTGAACAGTCCCATTGGGATTAATTGAGAAACCGACAAATGCGAAGATACGAATAGTGCACTGAAGGCCAACTCCTGCATTCAAGTTATTGGACGCTATCCGCGGTCAAATTGGCCGGGCGAAATTCCGGAATAACAAAGTTCGAGGTAACAAGATCATAATTAGTGGACTGCAAGTACGAGGAAGCGCACGGTTGAATGGTGAGATCCCGGGTTATACACATATGAGTATTAAGCCTAAGGCGCGATAGCTTACTTCATTGAGGATCGCACCAGCGAATCCCTGATTGCTGTCAGCCAATCCAGGGGAGTCCTTTAGCTCTCGGATGAGATTGGCAGTGGGATGGGCCGTGACAGAGGCGGCGAAGGAAAGAAGGGTCGCGATGAAGCTAGTTGTTGCGAAGTTCAGAAACATCTTGTAATTGTTTAGGTTTTCAATCCATCGGAGGGTCTCCAGTCTTTATATCCTTTGTGCAACCCCTATATACTGCGGCCAGAGTCGCAAGTCGCAGCTCAATTAGTACATGGTGATATTGCAGGGTTCTCATAGACATTATTGTGTTGATATATGTTGTATTGACGATACATTTGTGCATGCTATGTAACTGCGTGCTGGTATGCCTGGGGTCCCAGGTAGTAGGCACGATACTCGGAATACAGGATCCGTCGAGGATTTACCCGCGGGCCCAAGGTATCACACCAGGGGTTTTCCAGGTGTTGCGACCTCTCCAAGTAGTTTACGATGGAATACCCAATCATTGTGATTAACGAAATCTTCATGTTTATTGGTTTGTCTGATGCGGTGTTGATGCAAACACCGCTGATACCTTCTTCCGCTTACCATTTTTGATACATTGATCCTTGCTGACCACCACATGTTATGGTAGGCAGGATACCAGCCTCTATAGATAGAGGCTGGGACCCGACTGACCCCTTCAATAGGAGCCCTCCATTTCAAATTGCATTAAGGAACAGATTATTACATAACTAATATAAAAGGGAACTCCCGTAATGCATATGTCCATAGTATTTATTTCATTGAATTCATTTCCTAAAATGGTATTTCTCTTTCTCGAGCTTTGTTTACCCCTCCGGTGGAAAAAGTCTACATACACAATGGATAACCAGACCTCAATGTATGCATTTGGAGGCCTCCCTCAGCAAACCCCATGCATTCGGAGGCGACTCAATCCTGGTACATCATTGGGTCAACCCCCTAAACGCAAACTTGAGACAGCTTCTGACACTCCTCAGAAGCTCCGGTCACCACGTTCACCACTCAGTGACCTCAACAATCCTTCATGCCCTGCAATAGAATCTCGCGCTTTCTCGGATAATTCTAGGAAAATAAACCCTCCTCTATCGCGAATGGCTCCAGAAGTCACCGGTGTCTCAGGTTCTAAGCAAGTTTCCTCTGGTCTGCCTCTGATAGACTTGAGCGACCGTGGAGTCAACACATTCTGCCCTTCCACCCCTACCTATGTCCTGGCGTGCAAAACCTGTGGCTCCACACAGCAACAGTATGTGCATGCAGCTGGCAGCGAAAAGCTCCGTGGCATAAATCTCGTAATGGCTATCATGCATCAGGAGAGATTGTCCTTGGGGAAGTTTCTCTATATCATTTTTGACTCCCAGAATAGGAAGGAGGTGTCATATCCATCCCCGGCCAACGACTTCCGGTACCTCCGATCCCTCCGCTCTACCTCCGCTCCTTCTCCACTAACCTTGGAGCTTCCGTATTCCGCAATCCCCTCGGTACCCCTCGATGGTCACCACCCCCTCCTTTCAATTTATTACCCATGCCTCCCTAAGTACGGAGCCCTGAAGACTTCCGGACAGCTCTGACGTCCGCTAGCGCACTCCCGCCTCCATTGGGCAATACACTCGCCTGCCCTGCAGAGCCTACCTTTGGGCCTATCCCTCCTTTCCGTTTCTGGGTTATCGCCTACCTTTCCGTTAACCCCATAACCTGACTCGTTGGTAATATTCAGTCGGCTAATGTTTAACCCCATTAGCTCCGCTCCACTCGGCTCCGCCATTTGCGGACCCATCTTCGCTGTAACCATATATATATCCAACTTGTACATAGGTTACACTTCAGTAATAAAATCGACTAGAGTTTACCCTCTTCAGTTCTGGTGGCCAGTTAGTAAGTTAGGGCACAGACATGTTTACTAGGCACAGCGCTCCTGGCATAAGTCGCTGGGGCCGAAGCCCTCTGTCATGGAGGCACTCTTTCATCTCAACCCGGTCTCTGACAGGAGGCCTTACTTTCGAGTGCACATCAAAAAGTCGACAGTTTTCTCAAGGGCAACACCAAACAAGGAACACAACCTGTTGACATTGTCAGGCTCATTGTTGAGCACAACTTTGGCCGTGACAAGGAGAAGAGGGACCGACCAACATACCACCCACTTCCATCCTTCACTTCTCATCCCCACCCTGGTGGCCTCCTAGTCAGCGCCAATCCAATCCAAGTGTTGAGTTTCTATGAGCATCAAGACTTTGCTGCAAGAGTTCTGAAAGGTCATTGAAACAGTACTTCGCTCAGAAAGTACTCAAGGAAGTGAATTAAGAGATGTCACGGTTAGCAAGCAATGAAATGCTGAAAGCAGGTGAACATACAGCACTTACATGGGCAAAAGTGACTGGCTTCTCCTTCACTGGAATCCAAGAGATAGTGAGGGAAAAGGCCCTGCTGCTGTGGTCAATTCTTACAATGGCCGCAATTGGACCAAATGTGTCCCACTTGGCAAAGGCCCGTGAAGATGCCATTGAGGGGGCAAGGGGTCGTGGAAGCAACAATGTGCGGGATCCCTGGCTGGTTTGTGTATTGGGAAATGTCAGGGCACACACCCTGACTAGCCCAGACCCGGACCCGCGTCCGGACCCGCTTCCACCCGCTGTGCTTCCCGCATGCACACACGCTCCGCACGCCGCATGCTCCAGGCCCGGTTCCTACTCCTTCATGTGACTTCCGGGTATCCCCGGAAGTTTTCCTGATATGGGGCCACTGTGGGAAGATGAGAAGTTAGCTTCCTTCTCATCTTCTTACCCACAGTAGGATTGTGCCCTGGATAGGGCTGGCCAGACCAGAGGCTGTGGACCATAGGGGAGGGTCATGGGGACCCAGGAGTCGTCCCCTGACAGGAAACTGCATTCACATACCAGGTTCTAACCCTTAGTTGGTTAGGGATGCACTGTCTCCATTCTTGTTCTGGCCTACTTCCATTGCGTCAAAGTAAACATGATGCAAACTGTGCTCGGAAACGTACTTTTCACCACCAATGCTCATTGGTCACTCCATTCCACTTTTGGGCACATGGGCCTTGTCACATCATACAGCAACACTCTTGAACGGCTACACAGTCTGGGACAGGAAAAGAAGGCAACACTGAAAGCTCTTGGTTGTATGTTGGTGGCTGGGGAAATTCAAATACATCTCCTCTATGACAACATAAATCAATATCACCGGGCTTGGAGAGCAAATCTTACCAGTCAGAATAGGCTTGAGAGTGGAACAGCGGTGACCCTCATTGTGCAACACAAAATTGATGGACACAAGAATGTGTTCAATGGACCGGAGTATGAGTGCCGAAAGTTAGAGTCTAGCAAGGAACCTATCACCTTCAAGGCCGATGTGAACCCACTACACCTTGAGGACGTTGCAATCACAAATATCCTATGGATTTTCCTCAAGTTCATACCTCACCTTCAAAAGTTCAAAAACGATGTTGACAATCTCCAATATGTGAAACATGCAAAGTGCTGCATGAAGCTGCAGAAGACCGAGTACCACCTGCTGGAGTGTTCTGGCTACAATGAAGCATCTACCCAAGGGAACCGTGATGTGGTGCTGGATGCCTTCATTCGACAACTGGGACTGAGCTGCGATGAATTGGAGGGAAGGCAGTTCCTGGTGTCAGGGGACCAAGCAACAGTTGCACGCTTGCGCACGTTACTCGAACAGACCTCACTCTGTCGCTCCTGGTTTACGACACATAAATGGGTTCTCCCTGTGATAGAACTGTGGCATCTTAAGTGGGCGTTTCTGAAGGGGATTTTTAAGGCTCACTGGGCATGTAAAGTAGGCAAGGGGGATGTTGGATTGCGCACTGCTGCTGAGGCACTCGGGTGGAACATCAATCCTGACAAAGTCGAATTTTACCCCTGCTACCGGCTAGCTGAATTGGTCTTAACAACCATGACCCTTCATTATGCTAGGTAAGTACATAATCTGTTCAACTGTTTATCGATCAGTTTGCTATCAGTCATTGATCGCTGTGACAGATGTTTTTTGCACGAGAAGGCCACAACACCCCTTGTTGTGTCAGGTGGTATCAATCGATTGCACCTCATTGAGGAGCTTCAGGAGTATTGCAAGCCAGGTTACCTGCTCTATCAATGTTCATTTACTGACTTGGTAGATCTCACGCACAACATATACACAACATACGGCACAACAGAAGCCACGACTTTCGCTCAGCACCATGACTCCACTGTTGGAGGGGCCTTCTTTAACTCTTGTATGCGAGGAACCCATTCAGCTTCTCCTTCCACATTGCCCTCAACACCCCCCCAACTGTCATATCCATACAATCCCGACCTCTGCTCCGGGCTCCCGGAACTCCGAACTCCGACTTCCGGAGCCCTACTTCCCTTCCGTCACCTTCTCCTTGCCGACTCCCAAGAGGTTATCCCACCTCCGGCTCAGACACCACCTTCGGTCCGACTCCGGAACATTCCGGGTCCGACCCCAACCTCGACACCTTCCAGACGAGTACGCAAAACCTATGCTCCCGACTCCGGACCTCCACTCCGGTATCCCGTTCACGTCTCGTCTCCGGAACCTCCGGTCTTAGCTCCGACCTCGGACTTTGACCCCACCTCCGCTTATACCCATTGTATTGGTTAGCTCATTCCATTTAATTACGTTTGCCAATATTCCGGAGTTTAACCTCCGAGTTCGGACTTTCCGGACTTACTCCGGACCTTGCAACTATTGCATTGTCCATTTCAATTCTGCTATACTCCCTCATTCCTATTTGGGCTGCTGCTTCTTTTCTATTCAGTCAGCTAGCCATTCCCGACTCCCATCCTCCTTCCTTCCTTCTTGGGCCTTGGCCCTTCATTCCTCTGAGAAACACCATTGAGTCAAACACTTGACCCTCGGTGTTGTTCCCCTTTCCATCTCCCTTTGTCTCCTTTTGTCCTACCCTTGTTCCTTTTGATTCCAGACCCCTCCTTATATACAATGTACCTAGTAACTTGTAACCTCAGTCCGAAATCGACTGGAATTCCCCCCAAGAGACTTTCCCTCTGCTAGATCCGAAATTAGGGACCCCCAGGACAACCAGCAATGGCACAGCGCTCCACCTGAGTCGCTGAGGCCGAGGTCCTTCCATGCTAAGTCTCCGATTCCATTCCGGAGTCGTCCGAATCCCCGCATTCTAACACCAACCATCTTCATCTGAGCTTGATGATGGCATCTCATTTCTCAACACCGGTGACCCAGACGAAATCAACCCTTCCCATGATTGCAACCCCATGGGAAACACTGCCCCAGTGGCTGGCAATGACCCTCCCCCCTTGGATGAACGATCCTGGGGTGACACATTACTTTATAATAACATTGTCCTTTATCGTGATTTGCTGCATCTCTATGAGCTTAACACGAGTGTACATGATGGGGATATTGGTCGTACTTTCGAAGTTATTCATGTAAGTCCCTTTAAATTTTTGAATGACAACATCCAGCAAAATCTGATGCTTCAGTGGCTCCGTTTCTATTTTTTCGGTGTCGGGTCCAATAACTATGGCAATGAGCTGCTTCAACAAGCTCGGGACTTCTGGTGGCACCTCCCCACAGCAACGTGATCAGCAATCCTGCTCAATTACCCGGTTAATCCATCTGGATTGGCTGGCCACTTTCACGAATGGGACTTACTTCAAGAACATTTGAATTTTTGGCTGAAGCGAGTTTTCAATGGGCGAAAGAATGCCTTCGACTCTTGCTTTCTCAGGGAAGCCATTTCACTTAATATTGTTGACCTCAAAGATTTGCTTCAAAGCTTCATGGGCATGATTGGACTTGCGAAGGTTCATCCAGGCCGTACCCAGGCAGACATCGAGGCAGACGTCAATTGCCTTGGGGTGTTATATCTCCAGGAGTCACAGCACCTTTATGTCACTGGTCACTCCCAGACTACGAAGTGTATGGATGGATTTGCGTTGGGGGGAGAGAAACTGTTGGCTCGTATCTTGACATCACAATAAACCTAGCTAGGCTACTTGACATCTATTTTAATTCTGGTTCTAATACCTTCATCAATGTTGGCATTGATCACCTTAGCCGTGAGTCCAACCCAATACCTCTTCTATTTACACTCTAGATCTAATCATCTTCATAGACATCCGCATTAATTGCCTTAGCAGTGAGTCTGATCTGCCGCTTTCCTGCCACATGCCTCTGACCCAATACTTCAGCTGACATGAGCTCCACTACAGGATCCCTAGTGGGCTCAAATCCACTCTGTTCATCCTCTGGTGTGACCTGTACCTGTGGTCGCTTGCATGCTTCAGTGTGCATCTTTGTTTCGGCTTTCTTCCAAGCTCTTGAATGTTTGCACTTTGCATTCCAGTATGAATTGCACACCACAGGAATGAGAGATGACTTCTCTTCCGCACTGAGGTCAAGCTCCGAAATATCCATCCACTGATCCAAGATGTCTAAGGTACGGCTTTCTGATGTTGCTTGGTGGATCGCTGACACAAGTAAGTTGAGTGCGTGGTCGGTAATGACAAAATTTGGAGGGTCCAAGTTACTGAGTTTGGCTTCCCCCCTGTGTCTTGCCCACAAGTCCTCCCTCCATTCCATCAAACACTTGAGCCCAATTCCAATCATTTCCCTCTCATACTTTGGTAAGTCATTGTTCTCCTTTGCCAACTGGACTGATCTTGTTCCGTGAGTCTTTGCTAATTTTTTAGCATACTCGGAGGACAGTTTGTCAAGATCAACAGGTGGTCCGGGGTGGCAGCCAGGTGCCTCACAGCAATTCGCCGGTTTCTGGCAGGGTTCACCATAGTATGCACACACAACCTCACGACAGCACCTCATTGGCCCTGGGTTATAGTATTTGATGATCACTGGAGAACACCCATCCCGGTACTCCTTCCAAGCTGCAAGTGTTTTCTCCGACATTTTTCGTTTCCCAGTTACAGGGTCACCATCAAAGTCCACAACATTCTCAATGCGAACTACATCAGGAGCATATATGATCGCATGTCCCCCTTGTCCATCCTGACCAGCCCGTCCATTCCATTGTGTGATCGCTTTGAAATCTGCTGGTAGGTCGAGGACAATGACATCACGCACTGCCATGTCTAATCCTACCTGTCCAGCTGTCGTTGCAACAACGATCCAAACCAATCCAGACTCAAGGTCAGCGAGTGTTTGGATTTGGTCCTCTTGTGGGATAATTGAATGAAAGGGGTAAACCCTCGCTGATGTTCCCCCTCCCACTTGAAATCTTCCAAGCTGCTGATTTAACCATTTTACTAGGTTCTGAGCAATCACGATAGTTCCAACAGCGATAAGGGTCCGTGGTATGTCATTGGGAGATGCAAGTGTGTTTGGAACAAGCCACGCTAGGTCCGGGAACTCAGTGCCAGTGATGGGATACTTTAGGGTACGTGGACAATAAATGAGGTCAGTCCGATCAATTGGGAGCGACACATCATCGAAGTGTGGTGGTATGAAACCTAAGATTTCTTGTGTCTTAGGTCATGCCGTCTTAGGGTGCAAGGAACCGGACATGGCCAGGAATGTGACATAGGAAGGGAGAAGGGAGCACAGCCTTCCTAACATCTTATAGGACTCTCGAAATCCATTCCCCCAAGGTATGACAAGATGTGCTTCGTCAATTACACAAAACCCTAGCTGATTCCGGAATGTTACAGTTTCAAGTAACTCTTTGAAAGTTTTTGTTGGGATCCTCTCTGGTGCGCATGCAACAATGTCGTACTTTCCGGATGCAGCCTCGGTCCAAAGTATGCATGGTGGAACTTCTTGTGATGCCTGGGTCAGAGATTCATCATGGATTGTCAAGAACTGTATCCCCTTTGAACAGGCTTTAGCTTCCTGTATTGTGTATTGATGTGAATTTATGCATAGAGCGCTGTTCATGTACCAACCTGGTCATCCATCAGTGCCTGTGTTGGATAAATAACTAAGGCAATTTTACGCTTCCACATGAGCTTCCGAGCAAGAACGGCAGCAAGCATGAGCAGTGTCTTTCCGCTCCCAGTCTTGGATGTAAGAAAAATATCTCTACTTTGAAAGTAGAAAGCATTCTTTGCCTGCCATTCGCGAGGCAAAAATCCGAGCCAGTGTTTGATTATCTGAACCATCCACTCCACAGTCTCACATTGGGTGTGTTGTAGTTTCTGTGTGAGGAACTGTAGCTTTTCTTCATCTGAAATCGCAAGTGTGCTGATGGGTGTCATACTAGGGCTGTTGGGATCCTCGGTCATTGCTCGATCCTGATTTCCCAAAAAGGGAAGCGACCATGGTGTTGAATCAAAGATCAGCAATATCGCTTAAGAAACTTCCATTTCTGTCTAACTAAATACAATTCTGTTCCTTAACGGAATTGGAAATGGAGGGGTCTTATTGGAGGGGTCAGTCGGGTCCTTGACTAATGTTATGGCTGCAAGCGATATTATTGATATGGGGGTTGGCAGCACAGGTTGGAAGCCTTCACTAGAGTGCTTGCCTTGCTTTGCCAAACCTGCACAGCATGCACGCATTTCAGCAACAGAATGTGTCCAATGTATTTAAGGTATTACAATTGATGAAATGGAAGAGAATGAAGCATGTAGTTTTCCAGAAAGGATGTTAAGGCACATAACGGAATAACTGCTGGATAAATCTAATGCTAAAGCTATAAGGCAATATACAATTAGTTACAGAATATGAGGAATAAGTAACCTCAGTCTCACTACAGATATGTGTGAGAACTGTGGGAAAAAGAAACTAATTCAAAAGAATGAATATAGTTTGTGGCTGCCTTTGTGGATAAGTCCGAAATAGCCAAAGAAAGAAGAAAGTGTGACTTGTGGGAACAAGTCACATGGCCTAACCAAGTAAACTTGGTCAGCCCAAACCTTCTGGCAACATCTGGAAGGGGTGCCAAAAGGCACTTGTGCTGCCCTCCAACAGCATACATCACTGCCATTCCTTCAGTTTGTAAAATGTTGGAGGAACAATCTCAAAGCCTGTATTTATCATTATTTGCATTGACTTCAACTGCCCCTCCTTTCTACAGATTACGAGCCCAGGTGGCTCACCTGGACAAGCTTAGGTATCAAGGAAGTCCACTTGACTTTTGTGGTAGTTGGTTAAAGTGCAGTTGGCCACCTTCAAATCTTTCCAAATCCTCAGTGGAGGCAGGGGCAATCCCCCATATCTTAAGTCCCATGAGGCATCCATTGAGTCCTGTGTGGCAGGCATCCTTTTAAGTCCTATACAGCATCTATTACTGTACGTACATGACCAACTACCAGGTGGGGTTTGATCTGGCCAGGGAAGTTCCCTGGGGAGTCTGGGGCTGCAGCAGCAAATGCTGCCCCTGGAATGGCACTTGTTGCACCATCGGTGCAGTTTGCACCACGTATAGTTGGAAGCCCCTTTGGGGAGGCTAGGGGTATGCGGTTGTCAGGGCACACCCCACCTGACCCAGCGCCGCACCCAGCGCCACCCTGCCCTACTCCACTCCCCCTGCACCACTCCTTGTTCCTCCTCTCCCTTTTTCTTCTTTGTTTCTATTTCTATTCCATGGTCAACTTCCCTTTTCTCTATGTATCATCACACACCTAATACTGCTCCCCCGATCGCTGCACCCACTGCATGCATGTCAGGGACAGCTCCGAAAGCGGCAAGGTCCTGGCATGTGGGACTCGGTGGGACGAATAGCAGTTGTGCGTAGTGGCGATCCCGTTGCGGGGTGAGTGTCCCCGACCACTTAGTCTGAAGTGGGAATGTGAGAAGAAGGCTACTTCTTCGGTTCCCACCCCAGCTGTTAGTATATACATGCGGGATTGGTCACGTGGGGTGTGCCACATCACCCTCACACACAGCTGTGGTTCTCCGGGTGCCTCTGCGGGAGATCCTGAGAGGGCCCGCTGTGGGTGCGGGGTGGGTGCAGCGGCGGGAGCGGCGATGTAGGGATGGTAAGATACAGGAGGGGAAATGGGCATGCACGCTGGTGGTACATTGAACAGCAGGAAAGGTGGTCCATGTAAGAGAGAGAGAAGGAAAGAAAGAAAGAAAGGAAGCGGTGTGGAGCAGGGAAGTGGAGTGGGGGTCGGCTGGGGCATGCCAGGGCATGCCCTGACAAGGACATAGTTTGACGTCTCTGGAAATGTTTCCAGAATTTCATAAGGCCCTATATATGGGGGCTTTAGTTTGCCTGCCCTCCCTTTGGGTAGGTTCAGCTTATCTGTGGATAAGTATGCAAGCTTGCCTTTTCTCAAAGGTGGGTCCGGGTGTCTTTTCTTATTTGCCTGGATTGTTTGAGCAGCGCGATTGTGTATTATCGCATCGTGTGCTGCCATGAGGTTTTCCTTCGCCTTCTGGGCAAAGTCGTTCACTCCCAGGTAGTCCGAGGGTGGTGCTGTTGGGCACATCTTTGGCATGTGTCATATCCATCCCCGGCCATTGACTTCCGGTCCCTCCGATTCCTCCATTCCAACTCCGCTCCTCCCTCACCAACCTCGGAGCCCCCGTTATTCCGCAATCCTCTCGGTACCCCTCGATGGTCACCACCCCCCCATTCCAATTTATTACCTACGCCTCCCTAAGTACGGAGCCCTGAAGACTTCCGGACAGCTCCGACGTCCGCTAGCGCACCCCTGCCTCCGCTGAGCAATACACTCGCCTGCCCTGCAGAGTCCACCTTCGGGCTTATCCCTCCTTTCCGTTTCTGGGTTATCGCCTGCCTTTCCGCTAACCCCGTGAACCGACTCGTTGGTAATATTCAGTCGGCTAATGGTTAAACCCCGTTAGCTCCGCTCCGTTCAGCTCCGCCAATTGCGGAACCGTCCCCGCTGTAGGAGAAATAATATTCAAAGAATAAAACAATGATCTATCAGAATAGTCAACGAACAGGTGACAAGTTCAGACGTTTAACAGATCTCATGATCTTTATGAGACTGGACAGACATTAGAAGATCATTATAAAATATCTACACCCATGTAGTATGAGATTTAATCTACTACAATCATGCCTAGAACTTGACATAGGTGTAATATTCAAAGAATATATCCCTACAACAAGAAAATAGCACATAGACGGCAGAATAAGAAGGAACATTGGGAAAGAAATGTAAATATCTCGGGAACCAGTAAACTTTTGACTGTAATCTTTTTACCATCTGGAAGGACTGTTTCTTAACTTTATCCACGGTTTTGTTTCATTCTAAAAGCTTCAAAACTGACGGAGATATCGCTCAAACGGCGAAACACCTTATAATTCATATATATTTATTTGCTAATTCTTACAAAAGGTAATGTGACTCAAGGGAAATATATTGGCGCCCGGAAGTCTGGCGGACCGAATACCATATGATAGAGTATTCCCCGGCGCGGGCGGACAGTTTTTGATCGCATCAGAAGAGGAGAAAATGCTAAAAAACCGGATCTTGTATATTTTCCCATGATTCATCAAAACTTTTTGATTTTAAGCCCAAATAAATCGGAACAAAGGAATGATTGATGATCTGGATCTCGGATCATAAGCATGAAGTGATTTAGAAGTCCGCGGATCAGTTAATTAATTGGGAAGGCTCTAGAACATTAGTAATGATGTGGCTTCACAAAAAGGGGTCAATTAGAGAACAGTCTAGAAAGTTCCTTTATAGCCGAGTCATTTCTAAAGATAACCGTTCGTAATTAAGGCGGTGTAGAGCATAGCTTCAGCGCTACAAGATCCCGCTGAGATCGGCCCAAAAGACAAAGAAATGAATTACTTATTGCTGAGTCATGTCCTAAGTCCATTATTAAGCTTACACAGCCCAACCCCCTATATCATTCTAGAACTATCTATAATACAAATGTAGCACATGTAACTAGTGCAAGGCGTGGGAGTAGAGAGGCCTCTGAAAAGCATAAAAGGCCACCGCTTCTGCCCCCTCTCAAACCTCAGGTAGAAATAAAAGTTTAATTCTCCTCACCAGTGGTTGGTTCGTTTGCTCCAAAAGATAAAAGCAAATATTTGTTGTTAGCTAATATAAAACTAACACGTCACTCTAAGCGTGAGTTAGGGTCAGTTAGACACAGCTGAACAAAAGTGTCATAGTGAGAATTAGTGAGAATTTGGTGGAGGGACTTCTTAATTGAATAATCTCTCAGCAATACTTGGTTATCACACCACAGGAGAAAAGTGAGCGATCCTGAACCTGCTAGATAACTAGCACGCACTCTAAGCGATAGAAAGAGCAGTTTGGTCACTCCTGTATTGAGTAACATTTATTGCGGAATTATTTTATTAGCAGTTTTCCTTCAGTAAATTATCAGGAAAATCACATCCTACTGAAAAGTGGTAAATATAGGTGTAATATTGACTAGAAATCATAGTAAAGTCAATATAGAATTTTATCCGTAGACGATCTATACATCAGGTGAGATCGTTGGGGGGTGTTTATTGTTGTTTAGACAGTGAACAATCATATATTTGGCAACCAAAACACGGTCAGTATGCAAATCAGCACAAACTCTAATATCGTTATTGGACGTAGGAAACTGGTTACATAAGGTGATCCAGCTCCGCTCCTTCACCGCTGTAACCATATATATATCCCACTTGTACATAGGTTACGCCCCAGTAGAAAAATCAACTAGAGTTCCCCCCTAGGTTCTAATTGCCAGTCAGTAAGTTAGGGCACGGACGTGTCACTAGGCACAGCGCTCCTGGCAGAAGTCGCTGAGGCCGAAGCCCTCCATTACGGAGACATTCTTTCGTCTCAAGTCTGGTCTCTGACAGCATGTGGCCA